ACTAAATTGATGGGTTGTGGTTTTAATTTAATGATAATTGTTTAATTAATGTTCAACATAATGTAAAGTTTTCAGCATAATGCTAAGGTCAGTAGAGTTGTTTATGACCCTATTAACCTTCTGCATGCTAACTTAATTCAGCAAATATATCCCACGCGACTGACTTATTTTTCAAAGAGTGCAAAAAATGATATGCCTGGACTAAATAATTAATATCTCAATAACTACTGAATGAATCTGGATAAAATTTTCACAAAGAGAAGATACATTGGCCTGGCTCATGAAAAAAATATTTTCATGAATTTTTTACATAAATAAACAGGACTGGGCATAAATATACCATGAATACTCCTCCGGAATCCGCCGCTTCGCCCCTGTGGAGATTCAACGTCTGGTCAGAATCCAAAACTGAATTTGCAGCGATCGAATGTTCATTTTCAGTTCAGAAAATATTCTAGTTTCTATTTTCGATGACCATTATCGGCTTCCAAGAGCCTAAAGAGCTCGAAATCGCAATCCATTTCCTCCACATGTTCGTTGTGATCGTATTTGGCCGCCATTTTGTACGATTTGTTCACTAAAAACGACTTAAACACTGTTTAAATCGTTGAATTGAGAAATATTTTTCGAAACATCGCCATTTCTAGGTCAACAGGAAGTCCCCACGTAAGGACTAAATAAATCGGGCAATCTGATTGGATCATAAGACCGGCGGGAAAAAGTTAAGTTTTTGAAAGTTTAAATTCGACTGGAGTCGCCGGCAGTTGCCGGGGATTGTTAAGCACGGGCGACTACGCTCGCCGGTAGCATGCTAAAGGTTAACTACATAAACATTCTGTTAGTGGTGTAGTTATATTAATGTACAAGTTATACCCTTTGGTAAAGCTCCAACTATCTATACTCTTTATTTTTCAGACTATAAATTAATTTAAGATTGAAGTAATAATATTGTGAGCAACTAGGTGGTAACATTTTGTCATGTTAATGCCTCGTTATATTTTAAAATTTATCAAAATCACTAATTAGAATGAAAAAAAATTACTAAAGAATCTGATTAATTAAGCTAATTGCAATGGTTAAATAAATAAAGTAACTTAGTATGTTCCCTTAAGAAAAAAGCCATGGTAGCCATGATATTCCATGGTGCATCCATGGAAATTCATGGTTTTCCATGGAAATTCATGGTATTTACCATGGAAATTCATGGACATTCATGGTAATCTTCCATGATATTTACCATGATTTTCCATGGTATTTAGTGGTTTGGTAATTGTTTTTCATGGACATGTCATGTTTTTACCATGGCACTTGTGTTGTAAAATCAACAATTTTGGCAGGTTTTGTTTTTACCCAAATCTTCCAAATTGAATCGTTTTAACGAATGATTCCAAGCTCTGTACATAGTGTCATATAACAAAGAACTTTTATTTAATAATTTAATTGATGAATTGACCCAATAACTACAATTAATAATTTGTTTGCTGGGATTTGCTATCAATTGTTACTTTGGCATGAATGTAAAAAAAAAAAATAAGTGATGAAATCAGCTCACCGGATTCCCTTATTGCAGACTGAATAAACATTTTATGCTTGGAGTAAATCCTATTTGGTTTTATTTGATTAACAATGAGTTTTTCACTTGCACTGTCTATACTCACAGACAATAATAATTACTGAAGAGGGAGCATTAGGGAGAGTAAGATTATCATAAATAATAACAATTAAAATTAGCATATTTAAGAATGATGCAAATGAACTATTATAATCTGTTTACAAAGAGATTATTTTTTAACATTAATTTGAGAGTTAATAAACCTAATTAACATAGAACAATGGCAACCAAACATTTAAAAATTATGAAAATGATTATATATTCCTATTCAAAGACAAATCAATTTATGATTACTTAAGGTGTATGTTTCATGTTTTATTTAAGCCAAATGGTGTTGTTACCCCCCCCCCTCTCCTTCATGCAACTTACATATGTACTTTTAAATGGATTATATATAATATTCTTGCATAGACAAATTGAATTTTGATCACAATAGGTATTACATTTCAGTTTGCAGCGATAGGCTTGTGATTAATCACCCATCTCAATTTCAAGTCAAAATTCTGTGGATTTTTTCAGACAATGTGCACATAAAAATTAAATGGGACTTAATTTGGAAAAGTTCATTTAGAAACATAATGTATTTTTCTTTTTTTCTGCATCCAAATGACCAAACATTTAGACATGGAAAACCATGGACTTTCAAAAGATCAAAAGAATAACCATGGAAAACCATGGCTTTTGATTGCACTTTTCAAAACATCAAAGAAATAACCATGGAAAAGCATGGCTTTCGATTGCAATCAACCGACTTCCATGGCTTTTGATTGCAGTTTCCTCAACTTCAAAGAAAGTAACCATGGTTTTTGATTGCATTCTCCAATTCAAGAAATGTAATTTAAGAAAATGAGTTATTTATTTATTAAATTATTTCATATTGATTTTTATAATTGAAAATTAAAGAAAGAATAAAAAAGTAGACCTTGGGCTAGTTTGACTTAATCTTTTTCAAAGGTTAGAAGTGTTTGGCCTAAAAAATAAGGAACCTCTATTTAGTTTTGATCTACACAAAGGCCCATGAAACAATTCACTTTGAAATCTTATGACCCACTCTGTGCTGCATTCGCTGCATTACCATATTTCTTTATAGAAAAGTGACATAATTTTCACATATTTCTTATCGCACTTTGAAAAAGTGCTATATTGTCGTCGTCTTGTGCTGTTGGGCGGGCGGGCGGGCGGGCGGGCGGGCGTGCGGGCGGCACATAAACCAAATGTTGTCATCAAATTTCCAGGATAACTGCTTACCTGTTCAACTTGAAATTTTTACAGATGCAAGAGCAGACTAGTACCAAGATCTGATTAGGTTAAGGGCATGCTGGGTAAACTACGTGGCGGCCATTTTGAATTTTTCAACAAATCTTGTCATCAAAATTCCGGGAAAACCACTTATTCGTTCAACTTGAAATTTTTACAGATGCAAGAGCAGACTATTGCCAAGATCTGATTAGGTTTTGGGTATGCTGGCTGAATTAAATGGTGGCCATTTTGAATTTTTGAATTTGGTGGCCATTTTGAATTTTTGAACTTGCTCCAAATTGACCAAATTTTTTTTAAAAAACATCTACAAGTTCTCAAAAGTTCAAATCTGACCTTAGATTTCAGATTTGACCTTTCGTTGACCTTCAGTGACCTTGAAAAGGTCAAAAAAGTTGATTTTCTAAATTGATATTTTGGATTTTTATTTAGGTCAGCTTAATTACAAAACACCTACTGAGGTCTGAAAAAGTGAAAATTAGGTCACAAACAATGTTATCTAAATTTTTTCCCAAAGTTCAAGACTATAACTAAATTCTTGTCATCAAAATTGCAGGAAAACCGCTAACCTTGTCAACTTGAAATGTTTACAGATGCAAGAGCAGAATAGTGCCAAGGTCTGATTAGGTTTTGGCCATGCTGGGTAAATTGCATGGTGGCCAGTTTGCTCTTCAAAGTGCGATATTTATCACTGTGTGTCTTGTTTCTCATTTGTAAGGAAGCTGAGTTTAACATTTGACAAATGTTCTTGATAAACCTAAAAAATGAAATTTCCACCCTTTTTTATCATCAAAACATATTAATTTTGGAGATTTTGGTAAATACAAATCCAACCCAAATTGTTGATTTTACATCTCTATGTGTCATGGTAAAAACCATGACACATCCATGAAAAACCAATTACCAAACCACTAATTACCGTTGAAAATTATGGTAAATATCCATGGAAAATTACCATGGGCGTCCATGAATTTCCATGGAAAATACCATGAAAAACCATGAATTTCCATGGACACCATGGACACACCATGGAATACCATGTTTACCATGGCTTTTTTCTTAAGGGTTACTTTAAATCGAAAAGCTTTTGTGATTTAAAAGGATTTGTCGAACATGATGCATATCCGATCTAGAAAAAACAGTTCCGCCTTTATATAAATCTTATTTGGTTAATGAGTAGTGATCTGGTAATTTGTCCATCTGTCTTACTTATACAAGCCATGTGACATAAGCAAATGCAAGTATATCACACACATCTTGTATCAATCTTCATCTATAAGCTAAGAGGACATGAGGCCTCTTCAGTTTCATAATGCATTGCTTGCTTACCTTTCAACTTAAAGGAATATTCTTGCCTATATAGGAATATTGTAGCCTAATAATTTTTGAAAAAATATTTTAACAGTTATAATTAATTTCAATATAATTCTATTTCTTCTTTGCATGATATTATAATGCTATTTGGGATTATTTAGAAGATTCAGAAATAGATATTGAAATAATGATATTGTGTATAAAGTTAAGATCTTTTTCTATTCAAAATGATTATCTTAAAAATGTGTAATTCTACATAGAAACATGGGATATACAGATGAAAAACTCATAGATAAGTGGAAAAATATATTATGTTAATGTTCAATTGCTAAATCAATATAAATTATTGTTGTCTTACACAAGCTAGCAAGAATGTATTTAACATGTTTATAATACGGTATGTATTTATCATGTTTATAATGTGTATTTAACATGTTTATAATGTGTTTTAACATGTCTATAATATGGTATATATTTAACATGTTTATAATATGTATTTAACATGTTTATAATGTGTCTTTAACATGTCCATAATACTGTATGGATTTAACATGTTTATAATGTGTATTTAACATGTTTATAATGTGTATTTAACATGTTAATAATGTGTATTTAACATGTCCATAATACTGTATGAATTTAACATGTTTATAATAAGTATTTAACATGTTTATAATGTGTCTTTAACATGCCTATAATACATGTTTATAATGTGTATTTAACATGTTAACAATGTGTATTTAACATTTCTATAATATGGTATGTATTTAACATGTTCATAATGTGTATTTAACATGTTGATAATGTGTATTTTCAGGGCCTACATCTGATGCTGGTAAAGCTGGCAGAAAACGCAAGACATATGGAGCAGGGTGAGTATACACAGGTTTTGCACTAAGAGGCTTTGGATATAGGATTTATCCTGAGTTCAATACTTTAACCAAAATACAAGACACCGAGCTCATGGAATAAAGCCAATTTTCTCCACTGATTGTATATAACAGATGTATCTCATGAGCTTTAGATTAACTTCATGATGCAGTTTCACCTTTTTCAAAACATTTGACATTAAGAAATTAGATACATATTATATTTGTTGAAAAACATGAAAAACAAAATTTATTTCTTTAGATTACTAGGGAACTGTCAACATGTTTTTAACATTTCTTTCAAAGCAACAGTTCACTTCATGAAACTTCAATTTCCAGGAGTAGGCTGTATATATGATATCTACCTTTCAAGGAGTAGGTTGGATATATCATATCTACCTTCGTGACTTATTTAGCCATTTTGGGGTGCTTACCTCTGATGTCCCTCTGAACTATGAAAGACAAACTTTTCAATCATATTCCATTGCTTCGTATTTTCAATATGGGTGGTTGTTAGACATGATACACTAATTAATATCAGAGTTTTATGACATCATCATGTCATATATTGTTGTTATGGCAATGGTTTTTATGACCACACTTTAAGTTCAGTGGTCAATGTTTCGTATTAACTTTCCAGGTGATGCCATTTTTTATCTTTTGTTTTTTAGAATATCTGAGACCTGTTCGATCGAGAGATTTCGATTACCACTATATAGAATATATGAATATATTTCAATGATTTGCGTTATATTTACTTACACTTCAGAAATGGCAAAACAATGGGAAATATTGTACATTGCCTATAGTAGCTTGTTAGTGTTATTGTATAAATAAGAGTTTTGGAGTGTTTTGGATACAAGGTTTATAGGGAGGGAAATTAGGGAAATAAGCATAGTTTTGAAATATAAAAAATATATTTCTTGAGGGATTCAAAACTGACATTTTCTGAAGTTCTAGGTATACTGTACCTTGCTTTCTGAGGCCCCACAATTCTTAAAAATATATATATATATATTTATTTTAAAACTTCAAACATGATTTTTTCACTATTTGAAAAAATGATAGAGCTTGACTGGGATATAGCTGGATAGATACAGAAACATCCATCCATGCTCTCGAGATACACTACACTATATATACACTATATATCCTGCATGAATGTATTGCCAACTTAAGGCAATTTAGAACCTCAATAGGTTTGAGAGGTCAGTTTGAGAATACAATAATTTTTTTACAGGTCTGACAATGAAGATGATGATTCAAACATGTTTGGGGATGGAGAGAATATCACAGATAAAGAAAGAGCAGCAAGGTAAATTATACAATACATTGAAATAATGCAATTGTATATTGAAAATAGGCAATACATTGAAATTAAATAATACATTGAAATTATACAATACATTGAAATTATACAATTGTATATTAAAATTATACAATACATTGGAATAATGCAATTGTATATTGAAATTATACAATACATTGAAATTATATAATACATTGAAATTATACAGTACATTGAAATTATACAATGCATTGAAATTATACAATACATTGAAATAATGCAATTGTATATTGAAAATATGCAATACATTGAAGTTATACAATACATTGAAATTATACAATACATTGAAATAGTGCAATTGTATATTGAAAATAGGCAATACATTGAAATTATATAATACATTGAAATTATACAATACATTGAAATAATGCAATTGTATATTAAAATTATGCAATACATTGGAATAATGCAATTGTATATTGAAATTTTACAATACGTTGAAATTATACAGTCCATTGAAATTATACAGTGCATTGAAATTATACAAAACATTGAAATTATATAGTGCATTAAAATTATGCAATATATTGAAATAAAACAATGTATTAAAATTATGCAATGTATTGAAATTATACAATGCATTAGAATCATACAATATATTGAAATTATAATTTATTAAAATCATACAATGCATTAAAATTATACAATACATTGAAATAATGAAAATGAGACTGTTGGATCAAATACTGACAAATAGTAATACCTAATATCTAATATGAACATAGCTTGACCAGCCAAAAGTGTTTAAATTGGCAGGTGTTCGCATTTCAAGGTTTTTGATGTCAAATCTAATTTACAGATTAAGAATAGAAAAAGTGTTCACATTTAGAGGTGTTTAGTAGATAGGTTTTACTGTATATCTGAGAGTTCAGTTGTAGTATTTAGACTGAGGCACACTATCTTATCCGAACCTGTCCATGCACCCTCATTCAAAGAACCATCAACCTTTGATTTGCTTTCAAATGTAAAGAAAAGCATGAATCTGGAGATTTGGGTGAGAGATGTTCCCCAAAATATATAGTTTTGAGTGATTCTGTCAAGAGAAATCCAAGTGAGAACACTTACATTAATACTCATTGGTTTATTCTAATCATTTACTCAGTGATTTTCAATGAATTATAAAATGTTGGCAGGACAAACTTCAGAAAGACAGCCGTAACCATTTTGAATAAATCAACATTGCTTGGCAGTTCGCTGTGATCTGCGTTCACTGTGTTCACTTACACTAACAGGCTTTTGTGAATATATAATAGCAAAATGTAACTTTTAAATGCTAAGCTCAAAATCAATTTATGAATAAACTTTTTTCTAGTAGTTTACATGACTATTAAATACTAAGCTAAAAAAAGAAATTAACTAATAAACTTTTTCTCGTATGTGTAGTTTAAATGTCAATAATGTGACAGTTAACTTTCTTGCCTTGTGGGTGTTTATTCTTTCTATGCTGTTCTAATACTTATGGATTGTAAGTGCCTTGGACACATGAGCAGATCCATGAACTTTAGGGTATAAGGGTCTCTATTGGCCATTCAAGAGGATCACTAGCAAAAAGATAGTTGCGGATATGCATAAATTTATAAGTCACTTATTTTAAATTTTAGACTATCTGTGTTTGAAATCATTTTGCCATTACTAGGGACTCTTAATTACAATTTTTTGTGTTTTAACTGGTAAAATGTTGATATTAGGAATTGAACATCAAATTGTAAGCTGTCTTGACACAAGCAAAGTGACAAAAGAATCACTTTTAAGCCTGACATAATGATTTAGTTGTCTAGGTAACAGGGTATGGCTTCATTGTTATAGAATTCTTTAGCAAAGTGGAGTGATTTATTTCTAAAATCATAAACACATGTCAAAGTCAGTTTATCAATCCTGTAATTAACATTCCTATAACATTCTTAGTTATGCAACTAACTATATACAGTACATGTACCTTTAATTTTCACTCGATTAGAAAAATCATTTTTGCTACATATAAGTAAAAACAGTTTTCCATTAATCAGATGGAGTGGATATTGTATTAGTTACATGTCTCACCGATCCGTTTATTATTTTCCCTATTAAAATGATAATAATATGTGTCATTACAACCTGACTGTTTACTACGCATTTCATATTAATTTAACTAAATATTTAATCTCACATGTCGTCACACTTGGCAACGTGTTTGATTAATGTTTCTTAATCTATTCAATTTTCATTTCTTAAGATTAAATCGTGTCATATCGGATGTCAGAATTGCTTTAATTATATCCATTATATAGCACCACGCCTAGATAGATTCCCATATTATTAAATGAGTATGATCATATAACATATGACAATACATGGCTAATTCATTTAAATGATTCATCATACCTTCCTCCACTCCGTTAATATGATCATGTCATAGAAAATGTCTAATTATCAGAGCTGTTGAAAAGTGCATTTATTTAATCATCACACTTTATTGCAAATCATGCTAAATGTTTAGATTATAACATAACACAATACATGTACTGTATGTACACTCCCCTCCATAAGTTAAGCAATCAACAGTCACCTTTTGGATCATTTATCAAACCCTTTTAATGTTTGACAACTTAAAAATAATCTTTGTCTTAAATGTCTATACTACTTGTATTGTATATTAGGAACAAAATTTAGATTCAAACATAGATATGTTTTAATTGCTATCAAATGAAAATTCCCAGTTGCCAAACTTATTGAGGGTAGTGTATGTATCTACCTTACAATTATCTGATAAAATGGAACAACTTGAGGATAGTAAGAACTTGGGGTAATGGCTATATGTAGAATATCGTTTAATTGTATCTTATTAGGAATCATAGTAGACAACAGGAAGACTTTTAAAATCTTCTTTTAAATCTTATTTGATTCATAGAAATCATACAATATCTCCCAATCTGAATTTTCATTCAGTAGCCCAGTGGTCCTATTTACAGGTGACAGTGGTGACCTTAGGAAATCATGTAACACTCAAAAGAGGCAAGTTTGATATCATTGTCAGTTCTATTAACCTTAATTTTTAAAAAGAAAAATTCAGGGTAAAGCAATCTTTAACAAGTTTTAAACTTCACTGAAATATAAAAAAGCTTTTAGAGCGTGTCATATAGATAAGAAAATGTTGAATGTTACTGCGAACCAATTAATCTTTATTCCGAGTGAATTAAATGTCAACATACATATTAGGAAAGAGTATGACTTATATAAAATACATAAACTTTTATACAGTATTTATTTGTTGATCCCTATTAGATGGTAAACGGATGTTTTAATGTCAGGCAAACTCAGGAAAACATGTTTAGGATCATGTTCTCCAATTCAACGCAAAGGGAATAAGTGATAGTCTTTCTTGGATATAGATATTCAAGAAGTTAGCATTTGATTTTTGAGGAGCGCACTCTATTATATTACTGTATATTATGTACATGAATTTGTTATTATATACCATATACTGAGTATATACCATAATTTGTGTAAGTTATGCTATATACATGTGTGCTGTGTAAGTTATATTATATACCATATCATAATTATGGTATATAAAATACCATATACTGTATAAATTACTATATATTATACATCATATCATAGTAATCTGATTCAATAAGGAAAAATGGGATCAATGCTGCCTAACATGCATAGAAATATTTAAAGCTTATAATTAACATGCAATTTCTAAACTATTGCACAGATATCATGATTTGTTCAGATATATATTATATCTGTTTAGAATAACTCAATAGGTTGTCACAACCTGCATGTAAAATCTCAAAATAAACCAGCAAAACATATTTCAGTTAGGTTAATATGAGGGAGGTGAAGCGAACATGTAAAGTTATGATCATCTTGTGATTTAAATTCTCCCCTTCACGATATTGTGGCCAGATTCATAATGAAGATTTTAGGAAAACCAGGCCATAAAGTCATAACATTGCAAATTCTAAGTTCTCTTACAAAACATGTAGCTAACCTCCCGATTGACTCAGATTGCAATTTTTCTTAGTTAAAAAAGTAGAATCAACGAAAAACATAAATTGTTGGGCATATTATTAAACATGTACTTTATTTATTTTATATTCATTAATGCCCATACTGTGTACATATTATAACTTTTAACACTTGGGAGTATTTTTTCAAATCATTTCAAACATCATTGCTAATCTTGTATATATAAGATTGGCGGACATAATATCACACCCTGTTTGTTTACAATATATAATTGATCCCCTTTATGTTTGCATGCATATTTTTCTGCATTTCAAAAAAATATATCAAATCTCAAATGTAATGATGAGATTTGTCGAGGATATTTGTGAAAATGATAAATCGATCTTATCTGAGCTTCGGTCAGAAGGATCTGTTATATATATACATATATAAAGTAGTTTGGTATTTGTCCGCAGAAACTCTAGCGCTAAAGACACCTGGCAAAGGTATGTTAACAATTCCTTAAAATCCTACATTTTATTTTGAAAATTAATTTCTGAATATTTTCTTTAAAAAATGCATAAACTGAATTATTGGTTTTGAGAATGTATTTTAACTTTTATTTCAAATGTTGATATAGTGTCTCCTGCATATAATGTAATTATCTTTTCAATTATGGAATGCCTTTTTTATTATTCTAAAATTATAACTGTAATTTTGAGCAATAATTGGTAAAGGCATGCATCAAGCATAAGGGGGATCAGTATTGTTATTAAATAGAACTTGACATCACTATACACAACCAGTTCTATGATTCGTAAAATCAAAATGCAAAGAATAAAATCTGAAATAATAGAGCCCTGGGTGTATGCAGTGAACCTAAGTTCTGTTTTTATTTTAAATTATATCTGATTTTATATGGAAGTTTTGTTGAAATGATTTATATTTTTTTTATTGTTGTATTAAGTTGACTTCATGATCTTTGTACCATCTAATAGTTCATGTCTTTTATACCTGTATAATCATATAGCCCTGCTGTAGTCATGTATATAGCCCTATATTAGGAGCAGAAATAGTCTCGCTATATATTTGCATGTAGATTCTAAATGTACCGAAGGAATTTATTTCATTTTTCATTCAGTTCATACATTTAATTGATTATTTTATACTTATAATTCGGCACTTGTTATGTTATGATTATATATACTTTGAAAGATGCAGTAATTCAACTGCTGTTATAAATGTGTTAATGAAATAAGCATAAATGTTCTGTATTCATAAAACCATTGAAATATCATTGAAGAAACATTGAAATGCCATTGAAAACCATTGAAATGTGCTCTTTCAACACAAAATGAAATAACTTTCTCTGGTCTGAGACAAATTTAGCCTTTTAGCATTTAGTTAAGACCAACTTAGTAGTGGATCTAGGGTTTGACCCATAAGGAGAAAATTGTCCCCACCCTCTTTTATGTAGGACTGTAGTAATATTATGGTGTCCGATTATAATTTTGGCGCAGGACTGTTACATTGTATCATAATCGATGATAGGACTTGCATATTTGTCAAAAAGCCATGCAGGATGTAATGCAGATAATTTTAAGATAAGCCAAAGGATCATTTTTCAGAAAATAATTTTTGAATTTTATATTCAACAAAATAGAACTGCAACTTGATTTTATGCATCATGATCAATGGTATACATACAATGGTGTATATTTTGTCATGGTCCCTTGTTTGAAATCTCTGCCCTAGATCCATATATAGAGATTATCCTATATGAGGTTCAGGATATTGGGATTATCCCGAGGCTAATATAATATATTTGCCCGAGGGCCGCAGGTCCCGAGGGAAAATATATTATATTGGCCAAGGGATAATCCCAATATCCTGAACCGACTATAGGATAATATGTTTATCCCATACCAATCTTGGTCATCTGGTTCACATTGTTCAATCGTGGAAATATTTTAGAATATTCATGTCCAGTTTTGTTTTCTTGGCCGTGGGCGGATTTTCCTGTTCTCTCAAATATTCCCACATTTATTTTCTCGAATTTTTGATTGATTTAGTGGATACTCCTTCCCTTTTTTAAACCATCAAATAGATCCCGATTGTCTGTGTTTTCTCCACTGTCGTTTACAGTCATTACGCGAACGTTACCAATTATGAAAAATATGCGAGCGGCGATTATGACGTAGCGGGCAGATATACTATATCTGCCCGCTCGGAGCGGGACGTAAAGCTATATCTGCCCGCTGATGAAAATATAAGTTTTTACAAACCGGCCTTATGTACCTGTAACACGTCCAAGTATGGGATAAATAGCTATATGTACTGTTCTGCCCTAGATCCATATATAGCTATATGTACTGTTCTGCCTATGTATAGTAATCTGTAGCTTTGACTGCTTATTACAGAGAAAGTCATTGCGAGATTGAGCGAAGACGTCGCAACAAAATGACAACATACATCACAGAGCTTTGCGACATGGTCCCAACATGTGCAACACTGGCTCGTAAGCCTGATAAACTAACGATACTGCGTATGGCAGTATCTCACATGAAAAATCTACGAGGTTTGTATGACATCACAAGGACGTCAGCAGATGTCAGGTCACACCACGCACTGTTTAGATGTTGCCTAGCGACCATATTTGACAGCTTCTGTTCAATTATGGTTAATTTCACTTTCACTTTGATTTTCTTATTTATTTTTAGGCATTTTTTGGGTTGCACGCTTCTTTATACAAGGCATACTAGAATATTGCATGTTGTTAACAAATCACATCTGGCCTCATTGATAAAGTCATTCTCGGGGACAACATATCAGGTTATTACCATAGCAACCATTATATACTCATATCATGTGTTCAAATTCCAAGTTATAACCAGAAGTGATAAGACTTATACATCCAATCATTTGTAGTCTTATATTTCATATTTTTTCAATATTTGTCTTAGATACTGATATGTCTTCCCATAATGCTTTGTTCAAGTGGCTGCTGCATGCAGACAACACTTAGGCTTAGAGGACTCACCTCTAAACAACATTATATAACTTTACAGGGAGAGCCATTGCGAGATTGAACGTCGCAGACGAACCAAGATGGCTACTTACGTGAATGAGCTCTGTGATATGGTGCCAGCTTGCAGCACTCTAGCCCGTAAACCTGATAAGCTGACTATACTTAAATTGGCTGTAGCTCATATGCGGACTATACAAGGAGGTAACATGGGGCCTGTCATAACTCATGAGCAACCACATATAACATATAGCACAACATGTTGTCTTCACATTTAGAAATAGCAATGCACACAAACGAGGTCAGGGCAATCCCATGGGTATTATAATCCAATATAGTATAGGACACATCTATTTTCAGTTATATTTTATGTATCAATATACATTTTTTCAAACAAGTTGCAAGAAGAATTTTTTTTTTTTTCACTATTATATTTGGACAATCCCAAAGACCCTTAAAGTCCCTGTCAAACTACTCTGTTATTTGTATAGCTTTTGAATAGAATTATTCATTGAGAAATTAATTAAGACTCTGATAACCTCAAAGCTAAATACTTCAGTTTATATGGAGTGAATTACTCAGATGCGAGTAGGTAGTTACCAGTTTCGCCACCAGGTGGCTGATTCGGGGGAAATAACATGGCAGGGTATTACAAAATTCCCTTAAACTTGAATAAGCCTCAGTTTTAGTGGTTCACTTTTTATATTACCCTTATGTATGTGATAGTTATACAAATTAAAATATGTCCATTAAAAGAAAATAGTATCTGCCTAACACAAGAAAGATATTTCTCTTTTTGTGGTTTTACAACATGGGGTCTATGGGGAATCTCCCCGACCTAGAAGTCACATTTTCAAAGAAAATCAAATTTTCAAAGTTGATAAACTCTTTTCAAAACCACATTTCGTGATATAATTTTATATGTAGATTCCAAATATGACATCAGTTTGACTGAATTGTGAATTTTAATGACGTAAATCAAGATTATTTCTACTCGCATCTAGGATATTGAGATCATTTATTTGCTTAACATGCAGACCTAAACAGCTTTTAAAAATCCAAACATGAACGCTATACTTGGATCTATAATTGATGACAACACTGTGCTTCAAATATTCTTGTAATCTGGTTAACTTTGGCATGGTTGAGTTGAATACTCAAATTTTGATTACTAAAATCTTGTGCGTAACAATTTTAATGCCTTGCCAACGTTAATATAATTGTATTCATGGTTTTTCACATAGATAAGGCATCATCATATATAAGTTTTGATTTGGAATGACAGATTTATAAGATTCAGTTACTTTTCTAATTATTTTACTTTTTTTTTATTTTTTACAAGATTTTCTTTTTCATATTGTTCTGCAGTATATATTTATGTTATAACGATAATGTATTGTTGGCTCACATGGTTAATCCATGGCATTTTTTCCATTTTAATTGTAATGCAATAGAATTATAATTTTGAATTTAATTTCCTATTTTTTTACCTGTACGAATTTCTCAATGTCTTAAGATGGAATGCCTAATGGTCCTGTGCAAAGTTTGACAATATAGTTCAATCAATCAAATGTGATTTTTCATGACTTGAAAAAAGATTGAGATATAGTTTGAAAAATGGAACTTTTGAAAAAAAATTGTTCATCTCTTAAAATTTTCAAATATTGTATTTTCTATTGCCATTTTAGAAACAATTTTTTTATATGGGGCCTTTATGCTTCATACACACATGTGCATACTTGATTATATTATAGTTGATCAATTAACAGATTGGAGAAATCAGGTCAAACTTATGCTTGCATAAACCTTTTGTTCCCCTCTGATATCCACTTACCAAATTGCAGATAGAATGGAGGGTGGGGGGGGGGTACAGGAGTTTGATGCCTGACTAGCATAAACACCATTACTATTTCCTATGTTTTCAAATACCATAGTCATGCCAAAGACCGCACATGTCCCAATGAGCGCGCATGTGACTTCAGAAGCTTTATAATCATCCTTAAGATGGGAGAAAAATGAAGAAAATAGAGTCCAACCTTCTTAGAATTTCACTTTAATGAGCTGTAAATTCAGCAAAAAGTTTATTAAAAATTTCATATAAATCGGGTTGGTCAGAAAGCATTATTTTCAGACATATGAAGAATACATGAAGATGTGCTGCATCCAATATTATTACTCTATAAAGTCTATAAATGAGCGAAGAGCAAGTACATATTGCTGAGATTCAGATAAAATCCACATATATATTATTGTCTATAGAAATTGTGTTTACATGTGCTCTATTTGGGGTCGATATTTCATGTTATTCTACTCCAATTTCACAAGCGCAATGTGCGTTCCTTGGCGTGATTATGGTAATCATTCAAGATGGAGCTTTATAATTTTATTTCAAGAATTTCCTTATTGATGTTTAATATAAGCTCATGTATTGACTTGGAGGTACCAATACCCAGCAAACTGATGGTGCATATAAACCTTGTTTAAAATAATCTTATGCATTGACTTGAAGGTACAAATACCCAGCAAACTGATGGTGCATATTAACCTTGTTTAAAATAATCTTATGTATTGACTTGAAGGTACAAATACCCAGCAAAATGATGGTGCATATTAACCTTGTTTAAAATAATCTTATGTATTGACTTGAAGGTACAAATACCCAGCAAAATGATGGTGCATATAAACCTTCCTTCCTCACTGACCAGGAGCTGAAGCATCTAATTTTAGAGGTAATTCAAATACACACAATTCTAGTAATAAAAAGTACCAAATCAACAAGGATATACAGTATTAAAAAAGCAAAATGACGATTCATATAAACCTTCATCCCTCACTGATCAGCAACGATAGATTAAAATTCTGCAAGGCAAAATATTTCGAGACATTTTATTGACTCTCATGAGTATTTTATAAATATATATATAGCAGGTTTGATAAATATTTTGACAAAAAAATCTTTGTAACAGAGGATTGTTGAGGTGTTACACAGGCACAAAATCCTTGATGAAGCTTTATTTCAAAATGCTTCTTGACAAAGTAATTTCACCCTGCTATGTATGCTTTGTAATAAGTATCTATGTTTCATCTTTCACGTGTTATGAAATTATCTTATTTTGCCTCCAGGCTGCAGATGGGTTCCTGTTCGTGATCCAATGTGACACTGGGCGTGTTATCTACGTGTCAGATTCCATCACTCCAGTTCTCAATAAGTCACCCGTAAGTTGCACCTCTATATTAGGGCCCATATTATTTGTTCCTGTTTGTGATCCAATGTGACACTGGGCGTGTTATCTACGTGTCAGATTCCATCACTCCAGTTCTCAATAAGTCACCCATAAGTTACACCTCTATATTGGGGCCCATATTATTTGTTTCATGTTAAATTCAGCTGGTAGATGGGACATTAAGGGTTTTTTTTTGAGTAAAGTACCATTCATTGAAAAATCCCATTTCAAAAGCATCTCATTTTCATGGGATTTCATGGAAGTAGTTTTGCAGATTTTTATGTTGTCTCACATATTGCGAATTTTGCAAGAGCCTCAATTTGTGCCAGATATACATTTTTACATTCGCAGCATTCTGAATCCGAGCGAATACCTGATTGTATTTGAAAAACTAGCAGAATTTATGAAGTACCCGAACATTGTTTCTTTATATCTCTGTCACCTGTGGGCAAAAATATGATCTCCTATATAATATAATGTCATATTAAATTACATTTTTGTACATTGCCTTCAGTCTAAAATCTTTTCATACGAGGCCATATTTCAATATAACTGGTAACCATTAGTCTTAATCTCATTATGTCTGGTACTAATGTTTTCATTTTATGATAGCTGGTTCATGTTTTATTGCCACCATTGTGAATTGGAGAGTACATAATTATGATATGCAATAAAATGTATGTTCTAGCTCCCATATAGTTTCAGAATATCTGGAATTGATAAGCCTTACAGATTTTATCATAACTTTCAAAATGACTGGTGCACAGTTCTCATTTCTGGCTGATTCAAGCATCTATGATACAATTTCAGAATGACTGGTACCAAAGTAACCTGTATGAGCAGGTTCATCATGATGACACCGAAAAACTACGAGAACAGCTTTCCACGACGGAGTCTCAAAATACGGGGAGAATTCTTGATTTAAAAACAGGGACAGTTAAAAAAGAAGGTCATCAATCGTCATTACGGCTATGTATGGGTTCCAGACGTGGGTTTATATGCCGAATGAAACTAGGAAACATGGCAATCGACCCGATGGCTGCGAGTCATACAATCAGAATGAGGCAACGTGCAACACTAGGTCCCTCTGGTGATGGCAATTCTTATGCAGTCGTTCATGTGACTGGTTATATAAAGAACTGGCCCCCAGCAGGTATGTTATAATTGTCAAACTATATTTATTATAACTATGCTATATTATTACTATGCTATGAATTCATACCTATGAAAACTAGTCATCCTGGAGTACCAATATGTAAATGAACAAGTGTGGAAAAAATTACAAGGATGGAGGAAACAAAAGGTTTCAACAAGTGAACATTTACGCATGCTCTCTGATTATATATGTCTACAGTTAAAGATCTAGGTTGAATTAGCTTTTTTGAATTAGAGTTTTTTTATGACAACAATCTTGTAAAAGAAAATTCACTAATTTATCGCCATAATTGTCATAATAAGAGAATATTAGACTTAGGTGATCGTATGAATGAATAAATAAATAAATAAAGTTGAATACATTTACTAGAAATGTACATTGATAAATGCTTTATGTTTGTCTTATTGTTCAGGAGTTCAAATTGAGAGGAATGAAACTGAAGAACATAATAGTAGCCATTGTTGCCTGGTTGCTATTGGTCGTCTCCAAGTAACAAGCACTCCTAACGTCAGTGACATCACACCCAACGGTGCTACAGAATTCATCTCACGGCACAGTGTCGATGGCAAATTCACCTTTGTTGACCAAAGGTAAGACTTAGATTGGTTATTAAGACCTCTCACCTTAACAACTATTCTTTATAACATTATCAATGTACATATGTTCTCTACAATTTGCTTCTGTTCTAATATAAGTGCTCGTTTGTTACAGGGTGACTCCTGTCTTGGGATATCAGCCCCAGGAATTATTGGGCAAGTCTGCATTTGACTTGTATATTCTCTACAATTGCTTGTTTATTACAGGGTGACTCCTGTCTTGGGATATCAGCCCCAGGAATTATTGGGCAAGTCTACATTTGACTTGTATATTCTCTACAATTGCTTGTTTATTATAGGGTGACTCCTGTCTTAGGGTATCAGCCCCAGGAATTATTGGGCAAGTCTGCATTTGACTTGTATATTCTCTACAATTGCTTGTTTATTACAGGGTGACTCCTGTCTTAGGGTATCAGCCCCAGGAATTATTGGGCAAGTCTGCATTTGACTTGTATATTCTCTACAATTGCTCGTTTGTTACAGGGTGACTCCTGTCTTAGGGTATCAGCCCCAGGAATTATTGGGCAAGTCTGCATTTGACTTGTTTATTCTCTACAATTGCTTGTTTATTACAGGGTGACTCCTGTCTTAGGGTATCAGCCCCAGGAATTATTGGGCAAGTCTGCATTTGACTTGTATATTCTCTACAATTGCTCGTTTGTTACAGGGTGACTCCTGTCTTAGGGTATCAGCTCCAGGAATTATTGGGCAAGTCTGCATTTGACTTGTATATTCTCTACAATTGCTTGTTTATTACAGGGTGACTCCTGTCTTAGGGTATCAGCCCCAGGAATTATTGGGCAAGTCTGCATTTGACTTGTATATTCTCTACAATTGCTTGTTTATTACAGGGTGACTCCTGTCTTAGGATATCAGCCCAAGGAATTATTGGGCAAGTCAGCATTTGACTTGTATATTCTCTACAATTGCTTGTTTATTACAGGGTGACTCCTGTCTTAGGGTATCAGCCCCAGGAATTATTGGGCAAGTCTGCATTTGACTTGTATATTCTCTACAATTGCTTGTTTATTACAGGGTGACTCCTGTCTTAGGATATCAGCCCCAGGAATTATTGGGCAAGTCAGCATTTGACTTGTATATTCTCTACAATTGCTTGTTTATTACAGGGTGACTCCTGTCTTAGGGTATCAGCCCCAGGAATTATTGGGCAAGTCTGCATTTGACTTGTATATTCTCTACAAGTGCTTGTTTACTACAGGGTGACTCCTGTCTTGGGATATCAGCCCCAGGAATTATTGGGCAAGTCTGCATTTGACTTGTATATTCTCTACAATTGCTTGTTTATTACAGGGTGACTCCTGTCTTAGGGTATCAGCCCCAGGAATTATTGGGCAAGTCTGCATTTGACTTGTATATTCTCTACAATTGCTTGTTTATTACAGGGTGACTCCTGTCTTAGGATATCAGCCCCAGGAATTATTGGGCAAGTCTGCATTTGACTTGTATATTCTCTACAAGTGCTTGTTTATTACAGGGTGACTCCTGTCTTAGGATATCAGCCCCAGGAATTATTGGGCAAGTCTGCATTTGACTTGTATATTCTCTACAATTGCTTGTTTATTACAGGGTGACTCCTGTCTTAGGATATCAGCCCCAGGAATTATTGGGCAAGTCTGCATTTGACTTGTATATTCTCTACAATTGCTTGTTTATTACAGGGTGACTCCTGTCTTAGGGTATCAGCCCCAGGAGTTATTGGGCAAATCTGCATTTGACTTGTATATTCTCTACAATTGCTTGTTTATTACAGGGTGACTCCTGTCTTAGGGTATCAGCCCCAGGAGTTATTGGGCAAATCTGCATTTGACTTGTATATTCTCTACAATTGCTTGTTTATTACAGGGTGACTCCTGTCTTAGGGTATCAGCCCCAGGAATTATTGGGCAAGTCTACATTTGACTTGTATATTCTCTACAATTGCTTGTTTATTACAGGGTGACTCCTGTCTTAGGATATCAGCCCCAGGAATTATTGGGCAAGTCTACATTTGACTTGTATATTCTCTACAATTGCTTGTTTATTATAGGGTGACTCCTGTCTTAGGATATCAGCCCCAGGAATTATTGGGCAAGTCTACATTTGACTTGTATATTCTCTACAATTGCTTGTTTATTACAGGGTGACTCCTGTCTTGGGATATCAGCCCCAGGAATTATTGGGCAAGTCTGCATTTGACTTGTATATTCTCTACAATTGCTTGTTTATTACAGGGTGACTCCTGTCTTGGGATATCAGCCCCAGGAATTATTGGGCAAGTCTGCATTTGACTTGTATATTCTCTACAATTGCTTGTTTATTACAGGGTGACTCCTGTCTTGGGATATCAGCCCCAGGAATTATTGGGCAAGTCTGCATTTGACTTGTATATTCTCTACAAGTGCTTGTTTATTACAGGGTGACTCCTGTCTTAGGGTATCAGCCCCAGGAATTATTGGGCAAGTCTGCATTTGACTTGTATATTCTCTACAAGTGCTTGTTTATTACAGGGTGACTCCTGTCTTAGGATATCAGCCCCAGGAATTATTGGGCAAGTCTGCATTTGACTTGTATATTCTCTACAATTGCTTGTTTATTACAGGGTGACTCCTGTCTTGGGATATCAGCCCCAGGAATTATTGGGCAAGTCTGCATTTGACTTGTATATTCTCTACAATTGCTTGTTTATTACAGGGTGACTCCTGTCAGCCCCAGGAATTATTGGGCAAGTCTGCATTTGACTTGTATATTCTCTACAAGTGCTTGTTTATTACAGGGTGACTCCTGTCTTAGGATATCAGCCCCAGGAATTATTGGGCAAGTCTGCATTTGACTTGTATATTCTCTACAAGTGCTTGTTTATTACAGGGTGACTCCTGTCTTAGGGTATCAGCCCCAGGAATTATTGGGCAAGTCTGCATTTGACTTGTATATTCTCTACAAGTGCTTGTTTATTACAGGGTGACTCCTGTCTTGGGATATCAGCCCCAGGAATTATTGGGCAAGTCTGCATTTGACTTGTATATTCTCTACAATTGCTTGTTTATTACAGGGTGACTCCTGTCTTAGGATATCAGCCCCAGGAATTATTGGGCAAGTCTGCATTTTACTTGTATATTCTCTACAATTGCTTGTTTATTACAGGGTGACTCCTGTCTTAGGGTATCAGCCCCAGGAATTATTGGGCAAGTCTGCATTTGACTTGTATATTCTCTACAATTGCTTGTTTATTACAGGGTGACTCCTGTCTTAGGATATCAGCACCAGGAGTTATTGGGCAAGTCTGCATTTGACTTGTATATTCTCTACAATTGCTTGTTTATTACAGGGTGACTCCTGTCTTAGGATATCAGCCCCAGGAATTATTGGGCAAGTCTGCATTTGACTTGTATATTCTCTACAATTGCTTGTTTATTACAGGGTGACTCCTGTCTTAGGATATCAGCCCCAGGAATTATTGGGCAAGTCTGCATTTGACTTGTATATTCTCTACAATTACTTGTTTATTACAGGGTGACTCCTGTCTTGGGATATCAGCCCCAGGAATTATTGGGCAAGTCTGCATTTGACTTGTATATTCTCTACAATTGCTTGTTTATTACAGGGTGACTCCTGTCTTAGGATATCAGCCCCAGGAGTTATTGGGCAAGTCTGCATTTGACTTGTATATTCTCTACAATTGCTTGTTTATTACAGGGTGACTCCTGTCTTAGGATATCAGCCCCAGGAATTATTGGGCAAGTCTGCATTTGACTTGTATATTCTCTACAATTGCTTGTTTATTACAGGGTGACTCCTGTCTTAGGATATCAGTCCCAGGAATTATTGGGCAAGTCTGCATTTGACTTGTATATTCTCTACAATTGCTTGTTTATTACAGGGTGACTCCTGTCTTGGGATATCAGCCCCAGGAATTATTGGGCAAGTCTGCATTTGACTTGTATATTCTCTACAATTGCTTGTTTATTACAGGGTGACTCCTGTCTTGGGATATCAGCCCCAGGAATTATTGGGCAAGTCTGCATTTGACTTGTATATTCTCTACAATTGCTTGTTTATTATAGGGTGACTCCTGTCTTAGGATATCAGCCCCAGGAATTATTGGGCAAGTCTGCATTTGACTTGTATATTCTCTACAATTGCTTGTTTATTACAGGGTGACTCCTGTCTTGGGATATCAGCCCCAGGAATTATTGGGCAAGTCTACATTTGACTTGTATATTCTCTACAATTGCTTGTTTATTATAGGGTGACTCCTGTCTTAGGATATCAGCCCCAGGAATTATTGGGCAAGTCTGCATTTGACTTGTATATTCTCTACAATTGCTTGTTTATTATAGGGTGACTCCTGTCTTAGGATATCAGCCCCAGGAATTATTGGGCAAGTCTACATTTGACTTGTATATTCTCTACAATTGCTTGTTTATTACAGGGTGACTCCTGTCTTGGGATATCAGCCCCAGGAATTATTGGGCAAGTCTACATTTGACTTGTATATTCTCTACAATTGCTTGTTTATTATAGGGTGACTCCTGTCTTAGGGTATCAGCCCCAGGAATTATTGGGCAAGTCTGCATTTGACTTGTATATTCTCTACAATTGCTTGTTTATTACAGGGTGACTCCTGTCTTAGGATATCAGCCCCAGGAATTATTGGGCAAGTCTGCATTTGACTTGTATATTCTCTACAATTGCTTGTTTATTACAGGGTGACTCCTGTCTTGGGATATCAGCCCCAGGAATTATTGGGCAAGTCTGCATTTAACTTGTATATTCTCTACAATTGCTTGTTTATTACAGGGTGACTCCTGTCTTGGGATATCAGCCCCAGGAATTATTGGGCAAGTCTGCATTTGACTTGTATATTCTCTACAATTGCTTGTTTATTACAGGGTGACTCCTGTCTTAGGATATCAGCCCCAGGAGTTATTGGGCAAATCTGCATTTGACTTGTATATTCTCTACAATTGCTTGTTTATTACAGGGTGACTCCTGTCTTAGGGTATCAGCCCCAGGAATTATTGGGCAAGTCTGCATTTGACTTGTATATTCTCTACAATTGCTTGTTTATTACAGGGTGACTCCTGTCTTGGGATATCAGCCCCAGGAATTATTGGGCAAGTCTACATTTGACTTGTATATTCTCTACAATTGCTTGTTTATTACAGGGTGACTCCTGTCTTAGGGTATCAGCCCCAGGAATTATTGGGCAAGTCTGCATTTGACTTGTATATTCTCTACAATTGCTTGTTTATTACAGGGTGACTCCTGTCTTAGGATATCAGCCCCAGGAATTATTGGGCAAGTCTGCATTTGACTTGTATATTCTCTACAATTGCTTGTTTATTACAGGGTGACTCCTGTCTTAGGGTATCAGCCCCAGGGATTGTTGGGCAAGTCTGCATTTGACTTGTATATTCTCTACAATTGCTTGTTTATTACAGGGTGACTCCTGTCTTAGGGTATCAGCCCCAGGGATTGTTGGGCAAGTCTGCATTTGACTTGTATATTCTCTACAATTGCTTGTTTATTACAGGGTGACTCCTGTCTTAGGGTATCAGCCCCAGGAATTATTGGGCAAGTCTGCATTTGACTTGTATATTCTCTACAATTGCTTGTTTATTACAGGGTGACTCCTGTCAGCCCCAGGAATTATTGGGCAAGTCTGCATTTGACTTGTATATTCTCTACAATTGCTTGTTTATTACAGGGTGACTCCTGTCTTAGGGTATCAGCCCCAGGAATTATTGGGCAAGTCTGCATTTGACTTGTATATTCTCTACAATTGCTCGTTTGTTACAGGGTGACTCCAGTCTTAGGATATCAGCCCCAGGAATTATTGGGCAAATCTGCATTTGACTTGTATATTCTCTACAATTGCTTGTTTATTACAGGGTGACTCCAGTCTTAGGATATCAGCCCCAGGAATTATTGGGCAAATCTGCATTTGACTTGTATATTCTCTACAATTGCTTGTTTATTACAGGGTGACTCCTGTCTTAGGGTATCAGCCCCAGGAATTATTGGGCAAGTCTGCATTTGACTTGTATATTCTCTACAATTGCTTGTTTATTACAGGGTGACTCCTGTCTTAGGGTATCAGCCCCAGGAATTATTGGGCAAGTCTGCATTTGACTTCTATCACCCTGAAGACCAGGGCCATATGAAGGACAGCTTTGAGCAAGGTAAACGGTACATCTTATGCAAAATCATGGAAAATTGGGATAGTTTGACCTCCTTTGGACATTTTTGCAGTCACAATAGGATAAGATAAGGATTTTGCCCAGTTGAGAAATTATCCTGTGGTGAACAGAGAAACAGGAATAAAGAGTAATTTCTGTATAATTGATAGATGTCACAACTGTTTAAACCAATCATTCCTTTAATAGGAGTTTTCCATTCTCAATCTCAAATATTTGGATAAACAATATCAGTAAAAAGAGTGCAATCTATAAGTTAGGGCTAGACAACCTTTAAAGAAATTAATTAATTAATCCTTATAACAAACAGGGCCCTGCATTTATGATCCATGGCCTCATATTTCAAGATCGACTGCCCTAAATTCTCAACTTCCAAGCTATATTGCTTTATAAACAATACACCTTTGCTATTTCAGTGCTGAAACTCAAAGGCAATGTGTTGTCCATCTTATATCGATTCCGTGCAAAGAACCGTGAGTGGGTGTGGCTGCGAACTAGCAGTTTTGCATTCCAGAATCCATACACTGATGAAACAGAATACATTGTTTGCACAAACAGTTCATCAAAGTAAGTGGAAAGCAATTAATCATGTAATAGAGAATGTGCCTCATTGATAGTGTCCAGCACTCACATTAAATGGTTCAAATATGATTTGCTCTCAACGTGTGTGGGATACTAAAGTTGTCTCACCTTTCTTAAGATCCTGTCTCTGCCATCTTTTTTCCCAATTGGTATGACCATATATGGTTTTGTTCTAAATCACTCTGACCATATATGGTCTTGTTCTAAATCACTTTGACCAAATATGGTCTTGTTCTAAATCACTATGACCATATATGGTCTTGTTCTAAATCACTATGACCAAATATGGTCTTGTTCTAAATCACTTTGACCAAATATGGTCTTTTTTTCCTAATTGCTATGACCATATATGGTCTTGTTCTAAATCACTTTGACCATATATGGTTTTGTTCTAAATCACTCTGGCCATATATGGTCTTATTCTAAATCACTATGACCAAATATGGTCTTGTTCTAAATCACTATGACCATACTTATATGGTCTTGTTCTAAATCACTATGACCAAATATAGTCTTGTTCTAAATCACTATGACCAAATATGGTCTTTTTCTAAATCACTTTGACCATGTATGGTTCTGTTTATTTTAGATCTGTCCAACAAGGGGGCAATGTTCCAGTTATGTCAGGGGAGACTACTGAAGGTGTACCTAACTTAAACACATTTTCCCGACCTCCTGTCATGGGTGAACAGTCAAAGACTGAGTACAGTGACCCCTATATGATGGCCAGCCGCCAGATGCAAGGTATTATTTATTTTTATAGGTATATGTACATTTTTCCATAATATACCCATAAAAATATAGATACTGTTGTGTGAACCAAATTTTTCTCCCAGAATAGGAATATCATCTCAGAATAGAAAGCTTGATTCTCCAGACTAGTAAAAAGTAAAGTTAGATAAAGCAAAGTTAAATATGTTAAGTCATTAAGTAAATGTATTCATCCATGGAGGGATAAATAAACATCTCATAATACAGCAATTTTTATTTGTATACATTGATATATTTCTCATCTCCCCCAGGGACTGAGATGTACTCAAACTATGCAAACCGATCTAAGCTCTATCCCACAGCATCTACAGGCAGTGGGGGTCAGGCCACCCCTGGGAGCAGCCTTGGGAGCATGGCCCAGGGACGGAACCAGAGTCCAAATTGGTCACCTCGCGGCAATTTTGCTCAAGGATCGTCATCCCAGGACTACAGTGGAAGTACACCTTACAGCCAGATGAGCCCTAGCGGATCTCCAAGTATGTTTACAAGTTGCGCTATTTTTGATTAAATAAATCTGTGTTGGTAGGGCCAGGATACATGGCAAAAGTCACTTTAATTTCTTGATCCATTAAGTATTTCCATTTGGATTAAAAACATTGGATTGTAACTAATTATATTATCTTGTTGACATGCAGATTGTGATTTAGCATAAAAACTGTGGTCCTTAAGAGTAAATGGCATTTCATTGTTTCACTGCGGCCTTTTTCAGAAAACTTGAAAGTTTAATAATTATTTAAATCAAAGCTCAAAATTCAAATATGCCATCAAAGAGAAGAAAATGTTGGTCTTAAATGGTTAAAAATGCAGATATCATAAAATCTCATGAGACCCAACAAGATTTCAAAGCTATTTAGCAAACCCTCTATTAATTAACATATTTGTTTGCAGATGTTGGAGCCCCCACTTACACACAACTAGGGGGCACTGCAAGAGCAGCCCAGTCCTCAACATATACCCACCCGAGCTCCTCAACTACGTCCTCCCTCTGGTCTCAGTGGCAAGGAACGGGGGAGCCATCAGCCTCCCAGTCACAACAGGTAGGGAACATTGTATTGGAAAAATGTAAAATCTTTTGTTTATATGGGATTACATTAGAAGCAGTCAGTGGGATCAGTTTAGGGTCCTTGGTTCACTTGTTCACCTGGCACTGTAATCATGCTGCTGAAATAATGATCATGCATAATGCTCTTGGTTACAAGAACATAGTTCACCATTTTGCCTCATTAATGTAATTAATGTTACCTTCTAAGTAATTGAATTTGAATGAAGACAGTCGCACAAATATAAAACCTAATGTAAATGTAAATTGGGTAAGTATGAAAATGAGAACCTCTAGCCTTTAATGAAGATTTGTAATTAGCTGCTCTTGGTGCTCAGAAGGTTAAATACTTATAACACATCTGAATGTTATTTACAGAATACTGGCCAATCACAAGCACAGGAGAGTTCAAGCCAAGGTCAAGGACAAGGTCAGCAACAGCCAGATGATCTAAGCAATGTCTTGCGTATTTTGGATCAGAGTGGGCCAGAGTTCGGGGAAAGTGCTCTGGGAATGTTTAACATGCAGTGAGCCAATAACAATGATCTTCACATGTTTAAAGATTGAGAATGGAACAATGTAAAGATTCAATATGAAACATTGTTCAAAGCTACAAATGCAATGATCATAAAAATGCAATGATCACGACATGTGCAAAATGCGATGATCTGATGAGAAAGCTATGTATGGATTGCTGTATAAAGCTTCAAAATGCAATGAATGGAATCCTCAGCACACACAGCTTGGAATATTCAACAGGAGTGACCCTTTTAAGCTTCAAAATGCATTGATTATGATTTCAAATGCAATGACGTATTAACATGCAGATTTACATTAGATTTACATTATTTTGTGTATACTGATGTTGCATATTAAATAAAACAATTTGTAATTGTGCCCTCATTGCAAAAAACTTAATATATATTATAACAGATCTCACATTTTGTAGATACATTCAATACAATCTATTGAACAATGCTACTTGTTAAACAGCAGGTTTAAATTTGTTACAAAGCATTTTGTGCCTGTGTTGTTGTAATACATCATCACCTTTGTAATGAAACAATGCAAACCTGCTCTGTAAGGGGTACAAAGGGATGATATCCAAATCAGTTGTCAGTTGTGGAAAAATGGAGTTAATATAAAAAAACATTCTTCACAAATGAAATTGTCATTTACATCCTCTTCCCCCTAACAAAATTAACTTTGTTTCTCCACAACTTTTGACATTTTGACACCATTACATATTACGCCTCAATCCCATTTTCTATGGCAAACATACTGTACATTCTAATATTTCTACGACCAATAGCAATCATACAGCCTGTAGAATTTCTCAGTCACATATTTTAGCAGTCAAAAGTGCTACAGTAGCCATAATTGAACATGTGACTGAGGCAGTAGTTTTGATAAGCAAATGCTTCAATACCTCATATCAATATGTCAAGATCGATTTTATACTTTCTGTTATTAATAATGATATTTTGAGCTGACCCCTTTTAAGAAGGTAAATCAGAAGTCTTGTTCGGTAACACAGGTTTAAGTGTAGCGTATACAGTTCTATACAGATCACATATATGTTAATGTGAGCCATTAGCCGCGTCAAGACCAGCCTTAACACAGCAGATTTAGTTATATATTGTGCACTTGATCACCAATTATTAATTTGACATACGATTATTTCGGTTTGCTTGATTGCTTTATTCGTTTTGATAAGACTGGTTTTTCTGTGGTTCTGAGTGCTCATTGCACTTCGCTTTGTACAGTATTACGTAATAATACATACCATATGTACATATAGATTTACATCACAATTGATAACAGCAGAGTTTGTGAGTGTTCTGTCAATCTAAATGGTCTAACTCACTGTCTAAGAGATACTATCTAGATCTGCCATGACACACCACATAAAAATAAGACCGGAGTGAATGACTGAAGGAATTCACAAGTAGAACATTATTATGAAAGTTCATTTTTGAAATGTGGAAATCAATGGGATTGTTTTCTAACATTAACTGGGATAAACTATATAAGAAAACATTGTGCATTACATTCATATTATTTCAATAGTTTTTCTTGTCTGATTTTTGAAATAAGCTGCATAATATCATTTCTGATTTCGAGGTACTTACTGTGCATTTAGCACGTTTTGTAGCTCAATGTATTCAACTGAAACAATTATGAACCATAGTGAAATTATTGAAAGCATCACACTGCTTGAATTTATGGAAAGTTCTTGTTTAGTTCCTGGGTCAATTAAAGATTGTTTGAAACCCTGCAAGAGAAAATTGAGTAAGAATTGTGTTTAATTACAAAGGATTGTTACACGGTTAATGTCATTTTGAGAATATTGTGAAACATCAAATTAGTTTCCATGGTGACAAGGTATATTTGACCCTATAGGTGGGATATTTTTAAACAAATGGAATAACAAAGATTACTGATTTGGATGTAGTGTATTCATGATTTTAATTTATATTAATTTATTCACCTTTAATCAAGTTTCTTCTCCCTTCTCTTGGGTTCGAAACTCACTGCTGCGTGACTGCCAGTAGCAACGACATTTCACTCTTGGCATTGTCCTTGGAAACCCAGTTGCCTTTTGGGCAATGGACTGAATGCCAATATGTTGAATTGTGTGTGTGAATCACAACCAGACATACGCCAATTCCCATTTTAAGAAATATGGGCACTCTAAAAATATTTTTGGTGAATAAAAGATTATCAAGTAAAATCATGCATATTGTATAGAGTTTTAACTATTTATTAAAGCCCAATGGTTAATGGCATATTTCACATCAATGTAGATATGATTGGGATATGAAACATTTTTCTCTATGTCTGTAAATATAAATATTGTATATCTTGTTTTCAGGTCCTCAAAGCTTGTATTAGGGTACATGTACTTATGTATATAAAAAAGGTTATGAAGATATGTCTTATTTTAGTGCCTCCCGGATAATGTAAAACTAGGACGTCTTGTGTGTAAGGCAATTGTAATTATTTCAGGATGGCAATATTTATTCAAAATTGAATTGGTTTTAAATTAATCACAAGCAAAATTTCACATAAACTGGTATGCAGAATTTTGATATTAACAAAAATATTGGATCCTGGTCAATCTGTCTTTGAATTAATTTCCAAAATTGCTATGAAATCCTTTATTATATTCAAAACCTTTTAGGTGTAATTGCAAATTTTTTCCTGATTTCTAATTATTTCATTATTAAAAACATGAAAATTAGCTCAATACTTTCTAGTTTTACAGTATTACATTGCTTTATGTTTCACTTTTGTATCACATATCAATCTTCTATATGAAAACAAAACATGAATAAAAGGCATATTACAGTATAATAATGAATACACTTCACTGTTATATTGGTTTTTTTTATTTAAGGATTTAAGCACCAACTCAATGCTTCGTTTTTGAAATATATCACAGGTAAACCAAAACTGGCAAATGATAATATATCATAATAACAAATAAGGACAAATTATTTAGCAAGGCAGAGATCAACTTATCCATTTATTTGTTCTAAGATAGTACTATAGAATGGCTCTACTGTGTACCTTGAATGTGATGTATTATGTCATGCTTAGATTCAATTCTAGCTTTTATGCTATCAGTACAACATGAGAGAAATGAAATATTTGTTTTACATATAGTAGAACCTAAATGAACTTAAAAATATTAAATACAAACATATAAGTGAGAATTCTGAGAATCATTCCATGTTAAAATTCAAAATGGCCACCTTATGTGGGATTTAGCAATAATTTTCTCATTTCTTCAAAGTATGGCTATATTATTCTCAAATCCAAGGAAATTTAGGATAGATTGGTATAATGGTATTGTTTTCCTGATTTGCACCTCAGAAAATTCAAATTGTCTTGATTATTTGTGCCTTTTAAATCTTAAATGGTCACCCAAATGCCTAAATTGGTACAAATTCTGACATATCTCTAATGATTGTATTTTTGTGACAAATACAGATTCATATATATTATTTATTTTATTAAAGTGTCATGAGTTTTAAAACATAAAATACAATGAAAACACCCCAGGCTGACAACGACCTATAGGACACTATAAATACATGTAAATCATTTATATAGAAAATTTTCTTGAAGTTTCAACATTTGGCCACAGGCCTTTGCAACATATACAATGTAGGTAAATACTAGTATTGCTCATTAAGTTAAAGAATTTCAAGTCTCTGTTTATATGTAAAAATGCAGGCAGTTGATTTACAACCTTTCTGAACAAGTATGACCTTAAATCGTTATAAAAAGCACAGTCCAACATAAAATGCTTTTCATTTTCCACTGAGCCAGTGTCACATAAAACACATATTCTTTCCTGTTCTGATAGTCTTTCAAAGCGCCCAGTCTCTATTCGTAATGGTGCCACACCGCATCTGACTGAAGCAAATGCCCTTCTACAAGAAAGGGGTATGTCAGACTTCAAATAAGTCTCAGGCTGTGTATGAAGTTTAAATGTGCACTATGTCCTTAGCTTGTTCCTTTGGCCGCGTGGGTGTTGACCATCATTCCAAATGTTTCGGTGCCAATCTTGTGAAGCCTTTATACCTAGCTATTTCATCCTTCGAAGTGTCAAATGGTACTGCTAAATCCGAAGTTCTGTTAAGGTTAAAAAACCAGTTATGTTTACGAGTAGTTGCAAAATTAAGACTCCCCGTCGGGGAATCGAACCCCGGTCTCCCGCGTGACAGGCGGGGATACTCACCACTATACTAACGAGGACTTGACTGATCACTGAGGCCATTATCACTATCATAAACAGCACTGAACATAATTACCTAATATAACAAAATAATAGTGCCTCAATTGTCTTTAACCGTCAAAAACTATTATGACACAATTTGATAAATGAGATAATGTACCTTAATATTTTATAAAATTGGCATCGTTGTATTGGCTTGAACCATGAACCTTTCGTTTACAATTAAACACATTTTCCAATTACATGTAGTATAACAAATAAATTGTGTCTGGGTGGGCTTGAACCATCAAAAACTTTACTACATAAACAGCATATGAACCCAAATATATATTCAGCTATTCTATTCATTTTCATATTGATTCATGAATTTGATAACAACATTGATCAATTTTATTCATCAAAATGTTAAAGATAAAACATTGTTAACAAAATTTAGTCTCCCCGTCGGGGAATCGTACCCCGGTCTCCCGCGTGACAGGCGGGGATACTCACCACTATACTAACGAGGACTTGACTGACCTATGTAGCCATTATCAATACCATAAACAACACTGAACTTAATTACCTAATGTAACAAAATAATTGTGCCTCGATGCTCGTTAACCATCAAAAACTATTACGACACAATTTGATAAATAACACAATGTACCTAAATATTGGAACATAATTGTCATCATTGGATTGGCCTGAACCATGAACCTTTCGTTTACAATTAAACACATTTTTCAATTACATGTAGTATAACAAATAAATTGTGTCTGGATGGGCTTGAACCATCAAAAACTTACTACATAAATAGCATGTGAACCCAAATATATATTCAGCTATTTTATTCATTTTCATATTGATTCATAAACTTAATAACAACATTGATCGATTTTATTCATCAAAATGTTAAAGATAAAACATTGTTAACAAAATTTAGTCTCCCCGTCGGGGAATCGAACCCCGGTCTCCCGCGTGACAGGCGGGGATACTCACCACTATACTAACGAGGACTTGACTGAGCACTGAGGCCATTATCACTATCATAATTACCTAATATAACAAAATAATTGTGCCTTGATGGTCTTTAACCATCAAAAACTATTATGACACAATTTGATAAATGAGATAATGTACCTTAATATTTGAACAAAATTGGCATCGTTGTATTGGCTTGAACCATGAACCTTTCGTTTACAATTAAACACATTTTTCAATTACATGTAGTATAACAAATAAATTGTGTCTGGATGGGCTTGAACCATCAAAAACTTACTACATAAATAGCATGTGAACCCAAATATATATTCAGCTATTTTATTCATTTTCATATTGATTCATAAACTTAATAACAACATTGATCGATTTTATTCATCAAAATGTTAAAGATAAAACATTGTTAACAAAATTTAGTCTCCCCGTCGGGGAATCGAACCCCAGTCTCCCGCGTGACAGGCGGGGATACTCACCACTATACTAACGAGGACTTGACTGAGCACTGAGGCCATTATCACTATCATAATTACCTAATATAACAAAATAATTGTGCCTTGATGGTCTTTAACCATCAAAAACTATTATGACACAATTTGATAAATGAGATAATGTACCTTAATATTTGAACAAAATTGGCATCGTTGTATTGGCTTGAACCATGAACCTTTCGTTTACAATTAAACACATTTTTCAATTACATGTAGTATAACAAATAAATTGTGTCTGGATGGGCTTGAACCATCAAAAACTTACTACATAAATAGCATGTGAACCCAAATATATATTCAGCTATTTTATTCATTTTCATATTGATTCATAAACTTAATAACAACATTGATCGATTTTATTCATCAAAATGTTAAAGATAAAACATTGTTAACAAAATTTAGTCTCCCCGTCGGGGAATCGAACCCCGGTCTCCCGCGTGACAGGCGGGGATACTCACCACTATACTAACGAGGACTTGACTGAGCACTGAGGCCATTATCACTATCATAATTACCTAATATAACAAAATAATTGTGCCTTGATGGTCTTTAACAATCAAAAACTATTACAATATATAATTTGATAAACAAAACAATGTACCTGAATATTGGAACAAAATTATCATAATTGGATCGGCTGAATCCATAAACCTTTCTTTCACAATGGAACACACTATCCAATTCACCCACAATGACAATGGCTGACCAAATACATTTTGATTTTCAGGTGTGTACGAACCCTGCTTTAACCAATGGGAAATGGCAATACTCTAGTTTCATGTAAACTGACAAAATAAATCCTATTTTCTTCAGCACGCCCGGTGATCGTCCAAAAATGATGGAGGGGGGGATTAGGCGATTTCTGCAAGAAAACTCAACAAATTTGGAAGATTTATTTTTTCAAGAGAAAATTTACAATTGAATTGCCAAATGAATAGGCGCAGTGCATGGCAAAATATGTTAGGTCATCTAGTATTTTTTTTGAACTGGTACTCTTCTAAGATATGAGATCTATTAAAAAAGGCGTATCATCACCAACGTGCAAAAGTCAATGTTTTTGCTATAAATCGGGCAACAATGGTCTACACAACCTGTAATAAATAGGTATAAGGGACGTTATTATCACAATACTTATGACATTGCTCACTTTTTAAAGTTAGTTTCCATGCGTTATACAAAACATAATCGAAATAAATTAATTTGGGATGGAGGGGGGATCGGATGGAGGGGGGGGATTTTTATATCTTTACGATGGAACAAATTCACAAGAACTCGTGCATTTAAAAAAAAATAAACTCAGAACCCCTGTAAGAAACTGGATATTATATCTCCGGAGAATGAAAAATGGGAAAATTTGGGGTCATAAGAATAAATTCAAGTAGCATGTCTTATCATGTCTTGTATACACGTGTAAATTTTCTCTTGAAAAAATAAATCTCCCAAATTTGTTGAGTTTTCTTGCAGAAATCGCCTAATCCCCCCTCCATCATTTTTGGACGATCACCGAGCGTGTCAGTATCAAAAAGGAATGGGATTTCAAGTGAATTGGTTCTTCAAGAATTCTAAGAATATGAAAAATAATTCATTGAAAAGCAACAATCTAAAGACATCTATAGCATATAGGACATTAGTGGATCCTTTATGATTTGATGATATGGCATTTAAGAATCTAATTTGCTGTTAACCTTTCATATTCCATTCATATACAAGGGATTAACCTCTTGAATCCCAGGCTCTAAAATTGGCATGAAACCAGATAATTTTTCATTTTTTGCCACCTTTTGACATTTTATTACATACCTATACAACTTTAGATGCTCAGCTTAGTAAAATTGGACGGCAGAGATCATTTCTACACGTTTTAAAACAATTTTTGTGTAAATTGGATGAAAATTGTTCAAATGAGAGCAATTTTTGTGAAAAATTTTGTGACGGATTTTCTCGTCCCTCTGGGCACCAGTCTTATTTCATTTGTGACGGATATATCCGTCACTCTGGGTATTCAAGAGGTTAAGGGAATGAAGATTTTCAAATTGTTCACCTTTGTTCATAGAACTATATGGTTGCTAATCTTATAGAGCGAGAGTATGAACTATAAATTTACTTAAAAAGATCATTAATATACATTTAAGAAATTGCACACTTATTATGGCATGTTAATAGCTAAAAAGTTACAGAGTAACAGCAAAATCAGTGACTTGATCATAAGAAAAAGTTAAGTCAGGTTTCTAACTAACAATGACAAAAAGACTTCTCCATTTGGTTGATGGCAGGCAGGGTTGTAAACATAATACACACAAAAAAGCTCTGTTTGAATATTTGTTTATTGTTCATGTGACAAAATTTCTGAATACACACAATACACTACATGAACATTTGTGATATGATTGAATTATAGCTTCAAAAGTACAATTCCTAAAATTCTGAGTAAATGAGACTATTTCCCAGTGTGACATATGCAGATGCCTTATTCTTAATTCAATCATCATCTATGTGAATACTCAGTGTTCAATGGTTAAATGACCTGTAAGTAAACAAGTTGTAACTTGTATCCAATCAGGTCATGTATAACTTGGCATATACATTCGAGGAGTCTCCGTAAAGTATTGTGATGTCACCATCAGATTTTAGGATGTCACAGTAAGGTACTATGATGTCGCCATCTCCAATGTTGTGTACAATCCATAGATTTGACAGCTATCATCTCGGAAACTGAAGTTGGCAAAACTGATGGATTAAGGCTGTTGTTGTATTCCATTCCAATCATACAATCCAATGTCTATTTACAAAGTGGATAACCTTCTGAAACAAAACAAAAACATTTTGATTATTTTACAAGCTCTTTGATTGAAAACATCTAAGTACGTTGTCTTTTCTATTCTGATAAGTTCCCTGAATAAAGGTTACTTGATGCTATACAAATCTAAAGGAAGACATAATGGGAAGGGTAGAAAACATTTTAGAACGCTAGTAGGATGATAAACTAAAAAGCTCTCATAAAAACAATATACTGGATTATTATATGTCAATAACAAAATAGATCAAGTATATTCAACATTATAAAAAAGCTGACAACATAGCATAGTTTATTGCATGATAGTTTTACAAAATAAATACACATGTATAACAACAATAACTGAAAAATTATAGAAAACTTACAATTTCTACTATGACTTTTCAGATTTTTCCTTCTCTTTTTGTTTCTTCTCTGCCTCAATCTTTGCCTCTTCAGCTTCATGTGCCTTAATCAGCTCATCCACATCTGCATTCTGGAGGATCTTGATTTGTGTTACACCATTCTCACGTGTTAAAGTTGTCATTTCAACTACAATTCAACAATAAAAAATAGGTCAATCACATTTTTGAGGAAGTGACCATGATAAATCATCATTTTTTCAAAAAGGTTTGTTTGAGAGCTGTTAAAGGCTAGCCTAGATTAATCTTTTTTAGTATAATGGAAAATTTTCATAATTTTTAGTTCAATGTGGACAATATTTCTAAAAGTACCTGCAAAAATGTGCCATATGAATGAGTCAGGATTATGAAAAGTCTTGAACATAGACTTACTTTTTTCTGAAGTCAGCTTTGTCATATCTAAAGTTTTGCTTAACACTTTAAGAGAAAGTTTAAGAGCATCGCTGAGTTTTCCCTCTTCTTTGTATTCTTGCTTCAACATAGAGATTGCAGCCTAAAAATGAGATTTACTAAAAATAACACAATGCAATATTGGTGGAGATGAAATTGGCCTTTAGCAAATTAGTCCATGCCTATATTGTACAAGGCATATACAAACACACAAAATGTCACCAACTGCCAGTTGTTACAGATGCTAAACACCAACTGTCATCCAAGAAAAATTGGAGACTATAACAATATGTCATTACTTCTAGAATATATAAGAATAGCTGTATGAATATTCCTACAGCGAATAAGTCAAATCTTTTGAAAATAGATTGTATATACTGTATCACATTTTGATGGTAATCTAGCCTTATGTAATCCTTAACATGAGATATACAAGGATTATGAACTGAAAACTGTATACAGGGTTTATTCCAAGGGGAATATGTGTACCCCTGAGGGAACCTCAGTAGGTATAGAAATAGGATATATAAAGGTTATGTACGAGGAGATTTTGGATATGGGGTTTATCCACAGATGAGGGAGATATGTATATCTCCCGAGGGATAAACCCCATTTCCAACTGCTTTAAGGTACAGTTGGAAATAAAGTATGAAGGCATGTGTTAATTTCCTTGCTTTTTCAGGAAAGTCTCATTATAACATGTCAGAAAATAGCAAGTGCAGGTATAGCAATTTTTCCCTAAAATGTTATTTTCCAGCTGTACATTTACGTAATTGCTTAATCCTACACTCAGTGGATTTTTTTTCAACTACCAGAAGTGGGAAAATATGCACAGGAGGGAGAGATATGAAGGTTCTGGATATGGAACCTCAAAATCAGGATACAGGATATATCTTACAAACTTATCACTGAACTGGTCATAGGATAAAGATACTTACAGCACTGTTGTTGCCTATACATGTTGCCTTCCAGCCACCATAGTTGCCACTGGGGTCACTTTGGTAGAGCTGGTAGCCATAATGTTTATCCCAACCCATGTATAATATAGAGACACCAAATGGACGCTTCCCTGAAAACAACAATAGAATTAATTATGGGGCTCACTTTGGTAGAGCTGGTAGCCATGTTTATCCCAACCCATGAATAATATAGAAACACCAAATGGACGCTTCCCTGAAAACAACAATAGAATTCATTATTAGGATCACTTTGGTACAGCTGGTAGCCATGTTTATCCCAACCCATGAATAATATAGAAACACCAAATGGATGTTTCTGGAAACAACCAAAAAATCATTGAGGGGCAATTTCATAATGGTTGTCATAATTCATAATGGGACTATCGCAAAATAGAGGCTATAATTTATTTTTGAAGGGGTCAAAATTGTGGTCAAACATGTATGTTGATAATAGCAACCAAGACATAACATTAGGATTCCAGGCCTATCAAGGAATTATGGAAAAGTAGCCATGATATTTCCTATTACGAAAAATCTGCCATCTTTTAAGTAACTGGCTCTGGGCCTCTAGACAGGAGACGGGACTAAGTCGCAACCAGCTAGTGGCAATCTTAAACCAGCTGCTATATTACACAGAATTTCAACTTTTCCATAATAAATCTACACAAATTTGCATACAGAAACTTCTAAAATGTATCTAAATTCCATTAACATTAGAAGTCAATCAGTTTTAATCAGAGTAGACAACATTCATATTATTAATCAATACAACAAAACATACAACCTAATTATCTATATTCAAAAACACAAGAAGGGTTAAAAATAGCATACAATGGAAAACACATAGTACTTGTATGCGTCATATAGAGTTGTTCTCACCTCCAAATTGTGTATATGCTTGTTTAAAGTCACAAAGTGTGCTGACGAGTTGTTCACATGGAATGGGTTCTTGGTATTGCAGCATATAACGCTGAGCAATAAGACGAAGCTCATTTGTCAAAACATTAGCATCTGATGTGATTCCAGCTACACTGCATGCCAAGTCACTGGAAATGTACAAGTATTATAAAGCAGGGGGATAACCCTTAATGCAATTCAAGATTAATATTGAAATGAGGATAGATTCTTTTTTGAATTCTGGAATATTTCCCTGTCTTAGTATTGTGTAAAAGAGATTTAGTTAAAGCAGAAAAATTTAAAAAATGGTTCCAATTCATCACCATGCAAAATGTTATAGAACAGACGTTGGGCAATTTCTTCCTACTTACTCATATAATTTGTAGATCTTTTCAGAATATGACACCTCATCGAGCAGTTTATTTGTATTCCTACGTTCAGCGACAAGTAGCACACCATCTTCGGCCAAAATTCCTAGACACGACCCTGCGTGACCAACTGCTTCCATTGCATATTCAACTTGGTACAGGCGACCTGAAATATATATTCAAACATAGACTTCATACGTCAGAATCAAAAATAATGCATACATCTAGGCCTACCTATGGTTGGTGAAATGAAATATCTTTCATATTATTTCGCTGTTTATTGCCACCATAAAAGGGCTCATTATGAATATCTTAATTATAATATCCAAAAAAACATATATTTCTGCCATTTTGAGAAAATATCAGTTTTTTCCCAAATAGACTGCAAACAACTTATGTCATATATTCATGTTATTTAAAAAAAGATAAGGGAGACCCTGCCTAAATTTTAAGAGAATATCATATTTTGAATCATAATTATTATGATCTTGGAGTGATGTTGGTTTTCTCTATGACAGAAATGTTATTGCTTTGAATTTGATTTGAACTCTAGATCTTAATAAATTGCTTGCGATCTTTCCATTTTCACATAATATGAGGCATAATGAATAAGTTGCTTTCAAAGAACATTGAAAAGAGCAAAAACACACACTTTGAAGTGAACATAGATTTAATAGATAGCCTAACTGTTTTTACTTCACACATGGTCAAATTCACCATCAACCACAATTGGTGAAAGTTTAACATTTTCATATAAGTAAGAAATGTATGGAAATGGAAAGAATACACAAAAAGTCTACCTTCAAGATTAACAAAATACTATAATAAGCTTATACAAAGTAAATAATTACCTTCTGGTGAGAAGATTGTGGTCCTGGAATCATATCTTCGAGACTGAAAAAACGATAGTATCACTTTTAATATATTCAAAAAATACTTTTGTTGATTGCCAATTTATTTGCTCATGATTCAAATTGCTTTTCTGCGATTGGTTCGACAGAACAAATGTCTACAAATTTGGGGCCAGTTGAATTTATGTCATTACACTTGTTTTGGATGTTTTTGTTATTTAGTTACATGTACATTTAACAAAATATTCCCGTAATATAAGGTGCATTATGGGTAGGGACTGCTGTGAAATAATGAATGTAAGTGATATCACAACTATCTAAAAAAAACATACAATTATTAAGTTATTGATTGTGCTTGCGTTTTAATAATTAGACCCAATCAAATTTTTTGATATTTGGGATTCAAATTCTAAAGTGAAAAAATGGCGGGCAGTTAATTCCAAACATGTCTGATCAGAAAAAGTGAGTAGCTCCCATAATTCTTTCATATTCTATTGTATTCGGGGATTCCCCACTAAATCATCTCCAGCATCATCTCCAATCAAATTGCAGGATGTGATCACGTGAACAATCATGAGCAAGTGCTCTCTCAGTGCTGCGCATGCGCAAAGTCAAATTTGAAATTGTGGGAATGGCGTTAACATCAGTTCAACATCATCACTTCAAACCTACGGTAATACTATTGAAGTTACTCGATCCATACTTGTAGATCTAGAGAATACTCATAAAACTACAGCGATCATTCGGAGATCAATTTCAGTGGCAAATAAGACCAGTTTATAGAATTTGTTTTCGAACGTGCCAATATGAAAAGTCAACTTTGGGAGATCTACCGACTGATGTCTGATCTAGATGTACGGCAGAATATCGAATTTGAACCCTGACGTCGTCACGCTTTGACCAGCCCTGGATAACAACAACTGTGAAACAGCTATCACATCGGAAGAAGCGTGCATACAACCGTGCCCGGAAATCCAAACGCTCGCAGGACTGGAACTATTATCGTTCAGTGAAGAACAAGTCCCAGCGAGAATGCAAAAAAGCATATAACACCTATTTGGATGGCTTGGTGAGTGACGGTTGTAACAAACGCTTCTTTAGCTTTATTAAGTCCAAGAAATGTGACAACTCAGGTGTGGCCCCTCTGAAGCGTGATGGCACAACATTCAGCTCAAGTAAAGCCAAGGCAGAGGTGCTCAATGACCAGTTTGTGTCAGTTTTTACACATGAGCCAGAAGGTGCCATTCCAAACAAAGGCCTTTCTCCCCATCCTAGAATGCCGAATATCAGTATTCATGTTGATGGAGTGCTCAAACAACTTAAGAACTTAAAACCACACAAAGCTACCGGACCGGACAAGATATCAGCACAATTCCTGAAGATGACAGCAAGTGAGATTGCACCAGCGATTAGCCTGATCTTCCAGGCTTCCCTTAATCAGGGCAAGATCCCAAAAGTCTGGAAAGATGCCAACATTGTAGCCCTCTTTAAAAAGGGTGATCGATCATTCGATTGGCATCTAATTACAGGCCAGTCTCACTTACATCAATATGCTGCAAAGTTCTCGAACACATCATCTTCAGCGAGACAATAAAACACCTGGAAACAAACAAAATTCTCACCAACTTCCAGCATGGGTTTCGAGCTGAGAGATCCTGTGAAACGCAGCTCATTGTAACCATCCACGACCTTGCAAGAGAACTGAATAACGGAGATCAAGCTGATGCAATCTTGCTTGACTTCTCCAAGGCTTTTGATAAAGTCCCACACAGAAGGCTGCTCCACAAACTTCAGTTCTACGGCATTACAGGTTCAACCCATGCTTGGATCAAAGACTTCCTCACAGATCACACAATGCGTTGTCCTTGATGGTGAACAGTCCAAATCAGCTCCAGTAACATCGGGAGTGCCCCAAGGGACTGTTTTAGGACCACTGTTATTCCTTGCATACATCAATGACCTGCCAGAGGCTGTAACTTCTACCACTCGCCTCTTTGCAGATGATTGCTTGATGTATCGCAGAGTGAAATCTGAGATGGATGCAAAGAGACTCCAACAAGACCTGGACACTCTACAAAGATGGGAGGATTCTTGGTTGATGCGATTCAACCCAGACAAATGTGAGGTACTACACATATCCAAGAAAAGATCACCTCGTTTACATCAGTACTGCATCCATGAGTACGTGCAGTTGACTCTGCTAAGTACTTAGGTGTAAACATCAGTAACACCCTATCTTGGAATCCTCACGTGTCTGCCATCACCAAGAAACCCAACTCCACCCTAGGCTTCCTCCGTCGTAACATCAGCTCCTGCCCAAGCAATGTGAGGAAACAAGCATATACCGTACCACCTTTGTTAGACCACAGCTGGAATATGCCTCTTCTGTATGGTCCCCTTACACGAAGAAGGCAATCGGGCAGGTGGAGGGAGTTCAGCGACGAGCAGCCAGATTTATAACACAAGATTACAGACAAACCAGCAGTCCTACCACCATGCTGAGGAATCTGCAGCTGCCACCACTACAAGACAGACGTAATCTGACAAGAGTAGTCATGCTTCACAAGATAGTCCACCATAAGGTAGCCATTCCACCAGGGGCATACCTTGAGCCAGTAGGATCTGTGACCAGGGGTCACAACCTACGCTACCTTGTCCCATCCTCAAGAGTAGACTTACATCTTTACTCATTTTTCCCTGCAACCATACGACTATGGAACCTTCTTCCAGCATATGTAGCCGGGTTAATTCCCTGGACATTTTCAAGAAGGAGGCAGGGAGTGTGATGCTTTCGTACTAAGTGATGACGATTTTAAATCGATTTTGCACATTCACACTACAATTGTATATACACCGCACGCAAGCACACATAGTACGAAATATCCTCAAGAGGAGTCTGTACTTTAAAAGAAGAAGAATCCTCCTTGACAACTATCATTTTATAAATTTCAATAAAAATTGAAGGAATCGCTGGAATGACAATGCAAAATTTTCATTTCAACTGCATATATAAGTGAAACGAGATTGTCACTGCGGACGTGAAAGCTCCAAAGATATTGCCCTTATTATCATATACAGGTTCATAACCAACTAATGGCAATTATTAATTATATATTGTTATAAATTATGGATAAAATAATGTAACTCTGAAAACAAATCTCACCATGTTGAATTTTTCAGCAGAGCTGGCGATGAACCGGTGTTTTGATCCGAATTTCGTATCTCACGCATGCGCATCTAGTTTATTTACGTCATGACGTCATGCACCGCTAGAAATGAAAACATTGCATTTTCTTTTCTCATACAAATATGCTGTTTTCTCAATAACTAAGTAAAATGTAGGAGTAAAACCTATACGGTATCTTGGATAATACTATTTTTTAAATATTGGACAAGTTAGGAGTAAATAAACTTCAGTTAAAGCTGATAAACAAGAACAAAATCTTGCACTGGATTTGCATGTGGACTAGCCTTAGACTATGTGGAAAAAAGGCAAAATGAAAAATATTGTGGTATTGATTGTTTTGGCGTGCAACATTATTTCTGTAGAATGCCAGGCTAGTAATCAGGTACCAGTAAATGTTGCACTTGGAAAGCCAATATTTGCTGATCTTACCTGCGGTTTTGAGGAAAGTGAAACATTTATCGACCACAATCAACTTTACCTCGACCAAAAGATCATACAAGTGTGCAAAAGAGGTGACCACCCAGCATCCTCAATGGTAGATGGAAATTCTTCATCATTTTGGCAGAGTACATCTCGGCCGATATTGCTTGAAAATGAATACAACACTGTTCTTGGTGGAGAGTTCATCAACATTACCATAAATCTGGAACAGGTATGTATATAGGGGAGGGGTAAACTATATCCTATTTAGTCTAAATATATTCAGACTGACTTCTAGTCGGTCTGTTGGATACATACTAGGGGGAGGGGGTTTTCTGTCATTGGCATTAGATCATTGGAATCAAGCACAGGACCTTCCTGTTCAAAGCCTGGTGCTCCACTACTGACTCATAAGGTCTAGCCTCCATAGCTGAGCTGTAAGAGCAACTATAGGGTTGTTACAATTTATTTTTGAGGTTCTTATACTATGTTTGTGCAGAGACGTCTGTGCACAGATGTCACCATTAGTGAGAGCTCTAGACATGTAAAAATTCAAAAGTTGAGATCAAAGTATTATTTATTAAAAGAGTGTAAGTTTGTGTATTGAGTTATTGAAATAGAAGGCCATAATTAATCAATTAAATGTTTTTCATCAAACATTTATTTTCAGCATTTGTATGTCCTTGAAATTCTTTCACATCATTTAAAATGTAAAAGTTTTATTTTAATTCAGATTTTTGAGATTGACGAGATCATCATATCAATGGGGAGTAGTCCCAGGCCGGGTAACCTAATGGTAGAGAAGTCAGACGATGGTGTGGTCTACAGTCCGTGGGTGTATAATGTAGAGATAGACAATACATGTACCCAAGACTATAGAACACCGATCTTACAGGATCTACAAGACGTCAATGATGTCACTGATGTCCTGTGTTATACTTATCACAATGCAGCGAGAAGTGGCAATGAAACGGTATGTTTTTCTTTAGGAAGCAAAAAGTTTACATAAACAGTTTCTACACACTGTTATCTCCTAAGGGGTTAAAACGTATCAATTTTTGAATTAAAGGTACAACAAATACAGTACCAGATAGTCATTCTCATCAATCTAGGGCATATTCTTAACATTTTGAATGATACCTCAAAGTTTATCATCAATTTTCAATATCTTTGACCAAACCCCTGAACATATCCAAGTTACTGAAATTCACAACGAAATCACCTAAGTATCTAATAATCTCTTTATAATGAGTGGTATTGATAATAGTCTATTTGGATGGCACTGGAAAATATATGTTCATAATGTGTGGTACTTAAAATTGTTTTTATAATGGATGGTACAAAAAATTATCTATTGACAACAGATGGTACTGAAAATTATATCTATTAATGATTGATACTGAAAATTATTTCTATATTTGATGGTGCTAACAATTATTTATAATAGATGGTACTAAAAATTATCTCTAACAGATGGTACTGAAAATTATCTCTAACAGATGGTACTGAAAATTATCTCTTATAATAGGTGGTACTGAAATGATCTATTTATAATAGATAGTTACGAAAATTATCCATTTATAATAGATAGTACCTAAAATTATCAATTTATAATGGGTATTACTAATAATGATCTATTTATAATGGTGGTACTGAAAATGTCTATATTAGATAATACCGAAAATCATATATTTATAATGGATGGAACTGAGATAATCTTTTTATAATGGGTGGTCCTGAAAATTATCTATTTATAATGGCTGGTCCTGAAAATTAATCTAATTATATCGAGTGGTATTGAAAAAAGGATTTTTTTCTTTCTCCAGAAGGAAGAGACTCTGAGGTTCAGCACCAGTTAATTTTCATTTTGACCAGTTTGTTTTAAATTTTGACTAGCGAGTCTAAAGCTACAAAATGTAAAACTATTATCTTTCATTTATGTTTCAGATTACCATTGACGTGAGAGATGTCCCAAAAGCTAACACAGTAAGTTTATTGACACATAGACGTAGCCAGGGGGGTGCGATGGGTGCCCCCTCCCCCTATAAAAAACAAGGAAAAGATGAACATGGGGTTTTACCTTAATAGAATTAGATTTAAGTGTATGTTCCAGGCCCATAGACAGCTTTTGCCAAGGAAGGGGTCAGTATTTATAATGTTTTAAATTTGACAACTTTAGTCCAAAATCACTTGAAAAGTGTTCAAAATGGTGAAAAAGCTGCATGATTTTAGAAGAATTATTAGCCAGGGGCGTTCACTCTAACCCCCAATGAATATGGGTTCAACATGTCATTGTGGTGTTGGATAGTTCTCTTTATATGTATTTGAAGACATTGATTTTTATTTTTTATTTCAGGGATGGCGAAAAGCGAAATTCTTGCGCTTCACATTCCTTAAGATGCCCTTGACACTGGGGATACGGGGAGACAACTATGTAAGTGTAACGTGTTATATTATTTAACACTCATAATAAGCCAGTCAGTTACTGAGTATGTCAGGTAGTGCACATTTTAATCTTATATCACCACCAATAAATGGTGACAATACACCAATAAATGGTGACAATACGATTATATTATATTATAGCACCATGTGATTAGCATCAATTGTTTATTTGGCTTTGGTGTATATATGTATGTACCCAGAATGTTTGTTTTCAAGTCAGAGAAATTGACTTAAAAATGATTTTACCGAGCAAGAGCTATAATTTCCAATGAAAAGGATATAGTGATAGATTCAGTGAAAAATTCATGTTTTTGTTCTGATAATAAGAAGATATTTCAATATCAACTGTTTTAATTAGAGACAAAATCAATGTTTTCTGTTTCAACATTTAATACTTGCTTATTGATCAACCACAGATGTTTTGCTTCCTTGTATGCTATGTTTAAAACGATTTAAAAATCAATTATTTGAAATGAGTAATGCTCAGATATACGAGTAACATTTGTTTCAAGTGTTATTCAGACTATAGGTAGAGAATTAGAAAAATGTTCATTGTTTATCACTAATGTAACAATTCAGCATCTGTTGCTATGGTAACACTAACAGAATCAATATCACTCCTTGCTTATTGAGCTTGTAATCACCAACAGACTCATGGTTCCATATTGGTTGGCCTGTATTCATACCTTTGCATTTTTAATCTATTGCCAGTGTGTATTAAGTAAATGTCAGTTGCTCAAAGGGGCTCATTCATAATGAAAACAGAATATTATTGTTTAGTTCATCATGGAATTTAAGGACACTTGAAGTCTCGTATAATCCCTGTGTTTTTATTAATGTTTTTTAAACTCATTAAACAAACAAACGATCAAACAATTCTCATATTTAGAGGTTATGTCACTATGACGTGAAATATGCCTGAGTTCTCCCAATATAGGCCGACCTTGGGAGGCTCTATATTTGGGCAAGAACGAAGGCATATTTCACGTCATAGTGACATAACTGATGTATTACATGCCTTTATTCCCATGGTTACTTTGTATCAATGACGTGACATCATGATATTATCATGGTTATTAAAGAAATCTAATATCAAAACGAGGTAAGCGGGCTATATCGGGGTAATCGGGCAATATCGGTGGATATAGCTCGCTAACTTTCCCATTGACTTCCATACAAATGCTTCGCTAGGTATGTAATACATATATATACATCCATTGAATAATGGCTTTGTTGCTTCATTGAGTATTATGGTTACTATGGATTCACTTAAATATGATGTGATATTTCAGTTGATCTTCATGTTTTACCGTTTACAGAAACAAATATGTCCATATTGATATTTTTTCACAATAATTTAATATTTCGGATTTTAGTAGATTTTATTTTGCTCCAGTTTTAACAATTGGATAGAAACCATCTCAGAATTATCCATAAATAATTAAGGTAGGCATTGTCCGATGATTAATTAAGAAATATAGACCGAAGAGCAGGGGTAATATTGTCGAATACACCCCGCAGGGCTAGGCACAAATGTTTTCTGTACCCCGAACGACAGAAGGGAGTGGCTTTTATGCTTTTTTGATCACAGTAAAATGATATTGTGGTGACAAATTAACAAATCACTGTTTCATTATGTAACACAAAAACAATGAATATGAAAAATATACCACAACGAATGCAAAGTACAGTAACCAGTCTCCATGCAAGGTGTATTCGATATGTGGTATAGCGCAGTTTAAATCTCTTTTAGCAACATTATTCTGTACGGGAAATTGAGATCAAGGCAGAATGTGTCTGCAATGGCCACCAGCAGGACTGTATTAAGAGTAACTCTAGTGGACAATTTGAGTGCCTCTGTTCCCACTTTACAACAGGGGCCAACTGCGAGATGTGTCTCCCTGGCTACAATCAGCAGGCTTTCCAATATGAGAATCCATGTGAACGTAAGTCAGCGATTGAAATTTTATTTTGGCTTTATGCTTTTTTGATCACAGAAATGTGAACACCTTCTAATCTGAACACTTTTGGCTGGTCCAAGATGCGTTTAGATTAGACAGGTTTTACTGTATTGCTCAGAAATGTGATTCTTTATATTGAAATAGGTTGTATTGTTTAAGAAGCTGATTTCATCATGAATATGGTCAATTACAGTATATCTTGGACACATTATTGATGTTATTATTATTATTAATCCTATAAAAAGTATGTACAAAAATGCAGCATGACAAATACCGAGACACCAAAGGGCATATATTGGTATTAATGAAGAGCTTAAAAAAATGTATTCAATAAAAAGGTAACTAGCCCTAATGGCCGACACTATGTACATGCAATTTACAGGGATACAATAAAATACAATTAAATGTGATGATGTGCCTAATGAGATTGATTTAAAGTGATATCATTAATATTTTGAAATACGGTTGGATTTATATGATTTCTTGAAATGGGATAAATTATTTTCTTGTTTAATTGTGTCATCAAGTGTGGACCAAAGGGAATGTCCATGGTATCTTATAGAGAATTTGTCAGAAGTATCAATATGAAAGTTTTCCCTTTGACGTGTATTATGGCTATGTAGATATTTATTCTTTTCCAAAGGTTTACTTTGAAGTGATGTTATAACTTTGTTATTGTTTGAATATTGGTACATAAAAATGCTTGTATTGAGTTTGTTAATATCGAAAATGTTTATTCCAGCGTGCAACTGTTTTGGTCACTCTACAGTTTGTGAATACAACGCAACAGTTGATTTTATGAATAGGAGTATGAACACACTGAACCAGATGGATGGCGGAGGAGTCTGTGTGAACTGTAGTAGTAACACAACAGGTGAGTCATATAGCTTCTAGATTTACATCTACCCACTCTCCCTACCCTCCTCTACCCCCTCCCTCTCCACCCTTAGGGGAATAAACAGAGAACAGAGGGATTGGGGAAGACTGAAATCTGTAGTAGAAACACAACAGGTGAGTCTTACTTCAAGCCACTGAATTTCAGTTATTGTCTGGACAGTGTGTTTGGGTTATCCCAAAGATTTTACTTTTACTTACACTAAATCCATTTTGTTCAACTCATAAGCCAACCACTCATGTCTGTAAAGTAAACATACCTTTTCGAGATGTGTTTTTTAAAAGATATTCTTAATAATCTCCACATTTTTGCCACACCCACAATTCTATTTTGTGTTGAATAAATTGCAAAACATTGGACAGGGCCTTAGAACACCTTGGTATTTTATATTGCTAACTATTAACAATCCATAATGTCTATTGAAAGCTAGAACAATTGAAATTATCAATAAAGGTGTAATTTACACCTGCTCAAACAATATTGGCAAATATATTGATTAAAAAAGCTAGAAAATTTTATTATGGAGTTAATTGCTGTAAAAATAAAATATGATTAATTAATTTCAAAAGTAACAGATATCCCCCCACCCAGAATAGTGACAATTAAAGACCTGTTGCCCAATTTTACAAAACAAACAAAACCATTCTTGCCTCCTTTGACTTCAGGTATAAATTGCCATAAATGTGTGGATTTCTCCTATCGCCCACTGGACCGTAGTCAAACGGATCCTGACCCCTGCGTCCCCTGTGACTGTCACGGGCCTGGGGTGAGGCTCAACCTGGAGACGCAGCTTGTGGGAGATTGTGTCATGAATAATGATACTACACTACCATTTGGAATGGTGAGTGCAAATAACAAATGAGAAACATGTAGTTTCAGTGTAGGATCCTGAATTCTGATCAACAGGGATTTTCGGTATACCCAAATCACAATGTAACTACTTGTAATTTGGTTGAGTTAAGTTCATTGACCTCTTGAATCTCATTACTGGGGTCCAAAATGAGAATTTTGTCATCTTCACCTGGTTTACCAAAGTTTTCTTACCCCCAGAATAAGCACTTTTATGCAAGCTTTATAGTTTTAGTAGTAGTCTCTGTTGTAGTTTAGCTGTTATAAACTGTTATACTATTATAAACTATATTATTACTTGTGTTAATTCTCATTAAAACACAATTAGACCATTTCATAATTTGATTGGCATGTAAATAGCAACTTTGCACTAAGACTCCCCCTTACTCCACCTACAGCTTGTGGAGTTGAGGTGTTTAGGGGGAGGGGGGTCACATGGGCTTACTGCAAGAGTAGAGAATAGCAAAACAATAGCAAATACTTTCATTTGTTGCCTATTGCCAATGTTAATTGATTTTAGAAACAAGTTTTATGTGAATAACAAATATTATTTAAAGTTGATTCATAGGAAGTCAGATGTTTAACACCAATTCAGAATGTGTTGAAAATCAATTTGTTGAAATATGAATCACAATAAATGTTCGAAATTGATTTTTTTAATTTTGATTTGAATTTTATAATAGGTTGATTTCTTATCTTTGTATCTTATTTGGATTCAATTTTTATTATGAATGATGTTTTTGATAATCAAAGACTTGCCAAACCAAGGTGGAAATGTTCCCACCACAATATATTTTTAAGAAATATACATATTGTTTAGGTGAATGGGGTCTGTAAAAGTATATGTTGTATTTTTGTGATCATAAATGTTGTACATTGTATTTATTTTTTATTTTATTTGTATGTGTATATGTTGTCTGCATTTTTATTGTATTGTAGTGTTATTTATGAATGTATGTAGATTTGTTAGCTGAAGATGGTGCCTTTTGGTCTGGTTTTTCTTCATTGTGCTTTTGTTGAGTGTAAGTATCCATCATCCATTAGGGGGCTTCATCAGAATTTAAAATCTACAAGTTTACATTTTTTATACGCTTCACTTTCAAAATAAAGCAATAACTTTGACCTTATTTGAAAAGAGCTGTTCATAATATTTTTAACATTTCAGTACAATTGTTTTTTCTCTGAACCTCTTTTCTGTCCCTCTTTCTCTGTTATTATTTTTCAATGTTAATTTTATGTGTAAAATACTGCCTTTTAACATCCTAACTACCCAGAGTGATGAGATTTCTCGTCACCTAAGAAATGACCTTAAAACCCAGAGTTACAAGATAAACTGGCACAAATAATTTGCACTAAAATTGCTCTAATTTGAACAATTTTTATCCAATTTACACAAAATTTGTTTTAAAATGTGTAGAAATGATCTGACTAATTCTACTTAATCGAGCATAATGGTTATATATGTATGTGGTAAAATGACAAATGCTGGCGAAAATGAAACATTCTCTGGTTTCACACCAATTTTAGTGCCTGGGATTCAAGAGGTTGATTAATAAAATTGTGTTACAGCAATATATTTTAAATAACATTCGAAACATGACTGTATTCACCCCTTTTGTAAACTATAAACAAAGTCAACATTTCACCCGGGGTATATTCACGAACAATGCCCCTGGTAATACGTGTAATGTGTGACGTTGGGCCAAAATAATGGCGTACCATAATGAATATTCAAAACATTTTGGTGAGTTTCCATGTTCGAATCGTAATATAGACCTCAGAGCAGGTGTAATATCGTCGAATACACCCAGCAGGGCTAAGCACATACGTTTTCTGTAAACTTTGTGCCTAGCCCTAAGGGGTGTATTCGACAATATTACCGTTGCTCTTTGGTCTATATTTCTTAATTTTAATATGATATGTGACGTTACAATAACTAGAACAATTGATTTACTGGTCTATATTAGAGTATGTATGTTTTTCTTGTCTGTTATAGAATCGTAACAAAGACATGATTTATCCAATTCTCTTTGTTGAATTTAGGTGCCTGGGGACTGTTTCTGCAAGTCTAATGTAACAGGCAACAAGTGTGATGTATGCAAACCTGGTAGCTTCAACTTGTCTCTGTCCAACCCTGTAGGTTGTCAAGGTAGGATGATAAGGGGAAAATATTGTAAACCAAGAGAAATGATTCCTCTGTCTTGTCATATTGCAAGAAAATTCTTGTGAAATTAAATCGTGTTAATATCATGACATCATGGATTCATTATGGAATACTTAGAAATTCTTAACTGTCTGGAACCTAGGATCTAGGAGCATTATCCAAGTATTGTTTCTATTACAAGTTGTGTTTAATGCAGCTAGTACAGTTTTGAATAATGTAATCCTTTGTTATTTTGCCATTTTCTTATTTCAGACTGTTTGTGTGATCTCCGTGGTACTATAGATGGCAGTAATATCTGTGGTAGTGACACAATGGGCCAGTGTCCATGCAAGACATACACGATCAACAGACAGTGTGATGAATGCCAGGACAAGTATTATGGGATGGAGGCTAATAACACTGAAGGTACAAAGTATTCAGATTTCATTAGTGGTCACATAAAAAATGTTTATTCAAAAATGTGACAGAGATACAGAGCACAGTTTGCATTTCTGTATTATTGTAGCGATATATTGTCTACAAAAGTAAGTCTACTGCAAACCATTTAGTGGGAAAATAACATTTTGAACTATATTTTGTTCTGAAAATATTGGAAAGGTTGCATTTTCAATAAATTGTATAAAGCAAAAATAAGATAGACAGATGGATAAACTGGATGGATAAAAGTCAAAATCCGAAATATTTTCAATCATTTTAAACCAAAAAACAACTAGAGCTCAAGAAGCAATTGTGATTTATTCAGTCTCAGCAAACTAGGCTTTTACTATATTTGTTAAAAAAGAGATTTTGCTTTGCATCTTTTGTTGCATAAGTATCTTTAATCAATGATCAAGAAAGTGTGTGTTATGGTTGATCAATACATTATGGGTAAGGGAGACTAAATATTATTTTAAATATTTGCATTTCAGGCTGTATTCCATGTGATTGTGACATAGGTGGCTCCACTAGTCTTGTATGTGACAAAATCTCTGGACAGTGTCCTTGTCGGCAGAATATTGGTGGGAGACAATGTGACACGTAAGATACATGCATAGATACATAAAAGTAATCAATGCCACTCTTTCGATTGAAGAGCTGTCTTCATATTGTAAAGAACCAGATACATTACATTTTATTTCAGAAGAATAGCATACATCCACTTTTGCTTTTTTCATAGCATAGAATTATATTATTCAATATGTGTACAGGTCTGAGATGTTCTTGTTCAAGAGTGCAACATTTTGCTGAATATATTTTCGTAGTATTTTTACATTTTTCTGGAACCGTTTCTGAAATGGATCCTTTTCTGTAACTGGTTATCCCAATGAACAATGTTTGGAGGGATATACATGTAGAAAAGCCGTTCATCCATCCATTATTCTGTCCATTCGTCTGTTCGTTTGTCCAGACAATAACTCAAATACCAGTTCACAGATTTGAATCAGATTTTATTAGCTTATGCCTTATTAGTGTAGGACCTCTCCTCAAGAAGGAATTTTCAATATGGCCACTCATTTCAAAATGGCCGCCATTTTTCATAAAAAGTAATCTTTATTTGTTTCTTATGCTTTGTTCCAGTCCATTACCAGGCTTCTACTACCCTGACCCACATTTTTACCATGCTGAGTTTGAAGACCTTAACAAAGACTGGGATAGGACCATACCAGGTTATAATGGCTTCGGATATGCCGTCACATCAGTCAATGTAAGTAGAACCAAATACTGTAATAGGGAATGGAGGTCCAAGTGTCAACAGTATATGGGTTTAAAACAAAGTTTGACATCCCAGTTTTATGTCTTAGTTAGCCTTTCATTTTCAACAAATCAATATTTTTCACGAATGAATTTTTCAATTACCCTCTCCTTCTAAAGAAATAAACTTTGTTATTCCATAAGTTGACAATATCGCTTATTTGTGCGAATAAAATATTGCATGGTTCAGATGACATGTTCTTGGAAACTCTTTTCAGGGAGATACTTTTAGTGAGTGTAAATTTGAAGAAGGCATCGGGTGCAAGATCAGTGATGAGTTGTACAATTAGTATTAACATATCAAAATGAATTATCAAAACAAAATTGGGGAAAGCTGGGACATATTTATTATTACTCACATTATGTATTTTGCATTCTGTGTCTACATCTGTAACAAGAGTTACATTTTTCAAGGTGGTTACATACAGTTATGCTCATGACATGTTATGGTATTTATATTTCAAGTATTTATACATAGGCCTACTCTGTTATAATCTCTCAGTTTACATCCTGCTCCTAAAAAACTATATTTCAGTTTACTGCGGGAACACGGTTGGTGACGTCTAACATCCAGAAGTTTGGGGTAGAATATAACATCATCCTGCGCTACCACACAACAGAGCCTAATGCAGAGCTCACTGTGGAAATAAGAGGTATTTACTTAACACATATGTGCAATATTTATTTTCATTATGGGCTTAAAATGGACCATTTTGGACCTCATATTCAATGATATAGTGCTGTCCCTAGGTCTGATTTTGTTACTCGGCTCGGAAAAAAGGTTTGTGGGTATCATTTTGTTCCAGACACTCTCTAGAATAATTCATCTTGGGTGGAATAAAAATGTGTGGTAAACGAATTCGCTATGGGCAGTTAAAGAGGCGCCATCTATTCATTTTTAAACAGGGGGTAGGGGTATAAAATAATTTTTTAACACATTTTAATAGTAAAATGACATTGAAATACTAATAAAATCTTATCAAAAACATTATTTACAATCAGTATGAATTTTCTTGTGTATATTGGGTGAAAAAAGGGCATATCTTGAAATTCACTACAGGGGCGCCACCTATTTTCGTACTTCTACCACGTGTAATAACTTATTTTAGATTCGTTAAGGTACAAAATGAACTGAAATTTTGAAGGACCTATATATGTTCATAGCACATACTTAAAATTAGATCAATAGCTTTTGTACCTTCGGAGAAAAAAATTATTGAAATTTAAAATTGTGGCATCATTCAGGATAGGGGTGACCATATCTCACATTATTAACTTCCAAAATATGGAGCATATGTATCTCAAATATGCTCAAAATGGTGTATATAGTCTTGCCTTGTCATAATATTACTAATAATATGTAGAAAAATGATTGTACATTTTAAAAAATATTAATTTTCATTTTAGCTTCTGATGTTCCAGGGGTGACCATATCTCACCTTAATAACTTCAAAAATATGGAGCATATGTATCTCAAATTTGCTCAAAATGGTGTTTATAGTCTTGTCTAGTCATAATATTACTAATAAGATGTAAGAGAATGATTGTACATTTTTAAAAATATTAATTTTCATTTTAGCTTCTGACGTTCCAGGGGTGACCATATCTCACCTTAATAATTTCCAAAATATGGAGCATATGTATCTCAAATGTGCTCAAAATGGTGTATATAATCTTGTCTCGTCATAATATTACTAATAAGATGTAGGAAAATGATTGTACATTTAAAAAAATATTAATTCTCATTTTGGCTTCGGACGTCCCAGGGGTGACCATATCTCACCTTAATAACTTCCAAAATATGGAGCATATGTATCTCAAATGTACTCAAAATGGTGTATGTACTCTTGCTTTGTCATAATATTATACTAATAAGATGTAGGAATATGATTATACATTTAAAAAATGTTAATTTTAATTTTAGCTTCTGACGTCCCTCAATAACTTCTAAAATTATGTAACATATACAACTCAAATATACCAAAAATGGGGCATATGGTCTTGCTTTGTCATAATATTATTCATGAGATGTAGAAAAAATTATTACACCTTTTTTGAATTTAAATTTTCATTTTAGCTTCCGAATCCGACATCCCAGGGGCAACTATATCTCACCTTGATATAACTCTCACAGTATGCAACATATGCATCTCAAATGCGTGCCCAAAATGGTATAAATATAGTCTTGTTTTGTCATATTTATTGAGATTCATAAAATCAGAAGTTCAGAATTCATGGATTTGACTGTCTCCACTGAAGGATGCAGCTACATATAGCCCAGAGACAATAAGATCTACTTTCAAATATTTGCATCTTCTCCCCAAACACTCCTTATATTACAGGAACAATGGACGATAAGTCTTTTGCATGCCTTGGATGCAACATCTTTTGTATACTGGTAGCCTATCAGTAGTGTGAGTAGCCTAGCCTCATTTACCAAAATTGGCCCCTTAACCCCAAATCTGCCCCGAAATTTTGAAAATATCCTGAAAAATTAGGCCTTAAAGCCGCATTTATGCCCAAACATACACCAAACTGTCCCACTGCTAAATTACAAGGGCGATAAGTTGCTTCTAATCCCGATTGACATTCTCTAGTTTGCATGTTTTGTCATATATCAGAATTACAAATGACTTTATAACTGCAATGTCTCTCATTCTATGGTACATGTATCAGAAGAAATCCAGATCGGAAATCGGATGATTTAGAACAGTATTAGAATGCAGATATGGCATCACATGCAATGATTGCATAAGGAAAGGGCTAAAGTTTTGCCATGGCCATATTCTGCAATAATATCATGGGAAGGTAGATACTGATAAGATTTCCTCTTTCAGTATGCAATCCAAATTGACACTTTCAGTTTTTTAGCATAAAGTTTTGATGTCTGGAAGGAAAACAGATCACTCTTGTTCTTGGCACATCTTAGGAAATTTACAAGAGAATTAGTATGATATACCTTCTCCCTTGTTCCATTTCTATGTTTTATATGTGGGGAAGAAATATTACTTAATTTGCACAATCATTTATGTTCATGTTCTGCATATTTTCACTGTTGGGTTTTAGCATGTTAATGATCTAATTTTTGGCATGGTCATTCAAAATTTAATTTAATGGAGGAACTATAGTTTTCCATAATCTGTTATGAATGGAGGTTTGCGAGGCCTAATAAACTGAAGAACTTTGTTCCTGGATATGGTTCTATCAAATGGTACTGTTAGGTTTTCAAGTTGCCTTTTGTCGAATGTGCTATATTGTTCTTGCCCCATCTCAACAATTGTATTCACTGTATGGCCTATCATGCCAAGAGTAATGCAAGTGTTCCAAAAGCTAAGCTCTTCTCTGGGACCCTAGAAGTGCGGGACATCACAATCATAAATTAATATTTCAATACAATCAATGTATGTTGTATGACAAACATGAAAACTAGAGAATGTGGCTAGAAAGATTTATCATTACAAAGAGCTCCTTTTCCCGTATTTTACGTACTCAAAATCCCTTAATTCAGTGTATGATCCAAGGTGCATATATTGCAGGCCACAGGATAACATATTAACACCTTATCAACATTTGCCATTACTTCATAAATGGAGTAAAGTACTCCCACTATTGATAGGCTAAAAGGATTCCTGTATGGATTACAAAAGATGTTTGGTCCAAGTTATGCAAGGGAATAATCTCATCCATTGTACCTGTAAGGGGTGTTTGGGGAGCAGATGCAAATATTTGAAAGCAGATATTATTTGCCCTGAATTATATGTAGCTGTAGAGGAGACAGTCAAAATCCATTGATTCTGAACTGTTGATTTTATGATTCTAAATAAATATGACAAAACAAGACTATATTTAAATCATTTTGAGCACACATTTGAGATGCATAAGTTGCATATCATGAGAGTTATCAAGGTGGGACACCAGAGGCTAAAATTAAAATTTTGAAAAAAATGCAATCATTTTTCTATATTTCATTAGTAATATGAAAGACAAAACTTTTCTGAGAATATTTGAGGCGTATATGTTACATATCTTAGAAGTTATTAGACTCCAGATGAAATCTGGAGTCTATTGTTTTTGCCTGTTTTCTTATTAGACTCCAGATGAAAATCTGGAGTCTATTGCTTTTGCCAGTTTTCTTATTATTAGACTCCAGATTGAAAATCTGGAGTCTATTGCTTTTGCCAGTTTTCTTCTTATTAGACTCCAGATGTAAATCTGGAGTCTATTGTTTTCGTCAGTATTCTTATTATTATTGTTTATTATTATTCTTTATTATTCTTTCCCAGTTTTCTCGATAACCATAAGGCTTCCAATAAAGATCATTATTCAGTCAATTTATGTCCAGTATCTAGTTCCTCGGAAATTGGGTCAAATTTTTATCTAGGTCAAAGGTCAAGAACTAGGTCAAATCCAGTACTTTGTCACTTTTTTCGATTTTCTCGGTCGTCCTTCAATATTTTCGATCCGGGTTTTTTTCATTGTGTTCCTTATAAAAAAGTAGGAAACCTAGGGTCGATTTAGTTTTTTGATATCTCAAACCGATTTCGAGATATCAGTGTCCGAAAACGAGGTCCAAAAAAAAGTTCTCCGAATCAAATGTCAATGATATTAGTCTTATAGGAAATTTTCTCAGGATTCCGAATCTGAAAACGAAATTTCGATCTGACTTCCAGTTCGGAAGTTATGGCGTTTTGAAAACTCAAAAATCGCTAAATTTGGTGCCCATGTTAAGTCAATGGGAAAAAATATTTTTTTGAAGTGAAAAATACGGAATATAGACTGAGTTCAGCTTCATATAATCAAAGCCTTTAAAAGAAGGGGACCTCAAAAGCCATCTAGCTTCACAATTTGGACACCGAAATGCCTAGGTCAAAATCTAGGTCAAATTCATAGGTTTTCCTTATTTTTTCGATTCTGACACTACACTTTAATTATATTCTTCGAAATTGTGTATACATGTAGCCAAGAATATGCTAATAGTGTTAGCCTTTTGCCGTCAGAAAGTATTTTGACCCACTTTTGAGATATGGTGTCCGAAAAGTAGGTCAAAATAAAAAGTTCTCCAAATTGAATATATGAGTTATGAATTAGGGGTAGAATTTTGTCAGGAATCCGAATCTGCAAACCAAATTTCGATCCGATTTCCGGTTCGGAAGTTATGGCGTGTCCAAAAAGTAGGTCAAAATAAAAAATCTCCAAATTTAACGTATGAGTTATGAGTTAGGGGTAGAATTTTCTCAGGAATCCGAATCTGCAAACCAAATTTCGATCCGACTTCCGGTTCGGAAGTGATAGCGTTTTGAAATTTCGAGAAAAATCGATCTGATTGTATCCTGATAGAAAGTCAAGAGTAGAGAAGAAAATATTGAAAAATTCATCCATCCTCCTATCTCATCCTACCCTATCCTTCCTATCTATCCTTCCTTCATATCTTTTCCTTCCTATCCTTCCTATCCTATCCTATCCTATCCTTTCTTCCTATTCTATTCTATCCTATCCTTCTTTCTTATTCTATCCTATCGTTCTTTCCTATTCTATCCTACCTTCCTATTTTATTTATCCATCTCTTTCTAGATGACTCAGCTTATTCTGGATGACTCGGCTTATTCTGGATGACTCGGCTAAAAAAAGTCTAGATCTGGAGTCTGAAATTGAA